CCAGCCTCCTTTGCAGTTAGCTGTGGCCTTGCGGTTCATACTAGCCAGAGAAATGGGAGTAAGTGTGATGCAGGCTGCTCTTAACACTAACCCTCGGAATTCCCTCTTTGTGATGCTTGTGGTCACCAAGTGAATCATAGTTCCCCAATGGGGGCCATCCGCAGATGCTATCATATGGCTCAGTTTTATCACATCAGTAATAAATGGGAATTTGGAGGTGTCAGAGGCAGAAAGAGGGCTATCAGGAACTGGGATAGCAACTCCAGAGAGCCTTCGAGCAGGGAAGCTAAAAATGGCAGGAGAGTAACTGCCATACTCTATTTGAACTACATCCAAAAAAAGAAAGGCGACACCAGCCAAGTGAGGAGTCCCCTGGGAGCCATATTTGGCAGGCGCGGGGGCGCCTTTGATTGTTGGTGACTCTTGCTTTATCTCACGCAGCAGGCTGCTCTGGAACGGTTGGTTGTGGGAATAGTAACAGATTCCCCTGGGTCCCGGGAGGCCCTGGCAAACCTGTCCCTGTCATGGTGAAAACACAAGAGGAAAAAGCCTGCAATCTTCATACAAGACCTTCTCTCTGAATTTTCACTTATCATTAGCAGCATTGAAATGGCTGAAGATTTCAAATGATCTGTGCAGAGTATATTTTGTTCCTGAAATAGAGGTATTAGAAGTTCACCTGATAGAAACTGAATATAATTTCTCCATAGAAACAATCTAATAGAATTATGATTCTACACAAGGTCTGATACACTATTAATAGAAAGAATCAGAAATTGCATAGTAACCAACATGTGAAGGAGAAAGGATATCTGTACCCAGCACACTGGGGATCTTCCTAACGTGCCTATAAATCTGTCAAGGAGGACAAAATAGTAACCAATCATATAAAATCTCTACAAAGTGAGACTCATGGGGCAGAAATCAGAGCGCCTCTCTGGCTGAAGACAGCTGGAGGTGTTGGCAGCCAGTGTTGGCAGGGGAGTGTAAGCACCAATTATCTAGGTCTTGTGCCTTGAGCCATGCCTGTCTGGGGTTGACTGCAGACCATGGTCATCAGGATTCTGGGTACCTTTATGAAATCTTCCACTCTAATCAAGGGAATTTAGAACCCCAATAGGCCCCCGGGCATGGATGACATTTTCTTGATGTTCTTTGGGCCTAGATGGGGTTACTGACTGAGTCTGGGCTTCATTGTAGGTCAAATCCTAAAATTTTGTAGCCCTGGAATCACAAGAGGCCAAGAAAGAGACCCAAGGCACTTTTTTTTTTTTTAAAAAAAGATTTATTTATACATACAAGAACTGGGGCAGAGACCAGAGTTTGGGGTGGCGGGGTGAGAGGATTCACCAGAGACAGAGTGGGGAACAGAACAGGCAGATGGACTGAAATACACTCCTGAGGAAAGCAGCGGGCAAGTCAGGAGAGGTCTGCTGCACCATGTGGGCACCTCCCTGGCCGGGGATCGAACTTGTGCTGCAGTGGCTGCGGTGTGCTTCATAGGTTGGTCTTAACCCCTTGCACCACCAGGGAGGCCCCCAAGGCACTTTTTAACCCCTTCTCCTCCATCAGCCTCCCCCGCCAACATTGTCTTCATGCAACTGGAAAATCAGTACCTTTATAAAGAAAAAGAAATCCAAATGAGGTCAACTCAGAGAAAAGAGATGCGTGTCTCCATCTCCGTGGCAAACATCTTTTTTCTCATCCAAACTCCATTGGAACCTGGATGGACTTGAGTCTCACTGACCCTGGTGGCAGAGAAATTTGCCCTGTAGAGTGGTCAGGAAATGTGTACCTAGTATTCTTTGGATAAGTGGCCTCTGGCTTGCAGGCAACAAAGTTATGCCTTAGCCATATCTGTCATCACAATATTCTTTTAACCCAGTGCCTCATGCAGTTGCCAAAAAGAGAAGAAAATAGTATAAGACTCATTTACTTAGATTAATGAAATGGATTTCCTCAGCCCTTTCAAAACATGTTGAAAACAGCAATTTTGTATTTGGGGGGTACAAATACTAGCACTATCAGAGGCACAAGCCCAGAGCTGTGGGTCTGATATTAAATTCCTAACCAGGGCCTCCCTGGTGGCACAGCAGGTTGAGCTCAGCGCTATAAAGCTCTCCGCAGCCTCTGCAGCACCTGTTTGATTCCTGGCCGGCCAGGGAGATTCCCACATGGCGTGGCTGACCTCTCCTGTCACGCCCGCTGCTCCCCTCAGCAGTGTACTTCGGTCCTTCGGCCTGTTCTGCTCCCTGCTCGGTCTCTGGTGAATCCTCTTACCCTCTCGCACCTCTGGCCTGTACCCCAGCTCTTGTATAAATAAAAAATAAGTATTTTTTAAAAAATTCCTAACCAAATGATGATAACTGCTTGTATTTTGTTATTAAATTCTATTTCTATATATAAATTTTACTTTATATGTAGAGATGCTATATATAGAGATGCTATACATAGATGATATATGTAGATAATAATTCTATATATAATTTTTCTTTATAAAGCAGTTTTATATTGAGATCTTGACTTCCTTCAGACCCAGTTTTTTGATATACAGACCAGAGGGCACATGTGGTGTCCGTGGCCAGATGGTAGCTCATTTACCAGCTGGTCAGTCACACAAAGGAAACTTAGCTATAGATCTCAAGGCCAATCAAGGAGGAGGCAGTGACCATTTTCACAGGTTTGATAAATGTGGAGACAAAGCCAGTCATTTTCACTGTCTCCCTGCTCAAGATGTGGAATAATGGGAAGCCTTTGGAGAAGGGCCCTTCTGCCACATGGCCTGGGGAAGGGGAGCACTCAGCAAAGTGGCCAAAGGACTGTAAAGTTCCAGTGCCTCATTGACAAGTTGGGTATGGAGCCTGTGCGCACCCCTCCTCTGTTGCTCCCTCCCCACATCCAACAGAGTGATAGACATTTCCCTTGGTTGTGATGGAGTAAGTCAATGTCTAGCACTAGGATGGGGACTGGGAAATAAACCCTTAGGTAATGCATCAGAAATCACAAGGGGCTCTGAGGAGGGCCAGTGCTCATGGCCTCTGGGGCAGGCACCTTGGTGCGCAAGATGGAAGGGCGAGTGTGGGTAGGGCTGATGGGAGTGGGCACCTGCTTCGCAGGCAGTTTGTTTCTATGTTCCTGGGCTTTCTTTTCCAGAACTTCCAGGTAGACCTTTTCTATAGCAACTAGTAGTTGAAATGAGAGGGAAGAAGGATGTGGTATAAGAGGCCCAGGGATAAGAGGAAAAGAGAAACTGAGGGCCTCCCTGGTGGTGCAGGTGGTTGAGCACAGTGCTGTGAAGCTGTCCACAGCCTCTGCAGCATGAGTTCAATCCCTGGCCAGGGAACTACCCACATGGCACAGCAGACCTCTCCTGTCTCGCCTGCTGCTCCCCTCAGCAATGTGTTTCGTCAGTCTACCTGCTCTGTTCCCCGTTCTGTCTCTGGTGAATCCTCTCACCCTCCCACTCATCTGGCCTGTACCCTGGTTCTTGTATAAATAAATCTTTAAAAATATGATTTTAAAAAAGAGAGAAATAGGGCTGGTTAAACAGATTCTGAATGACTTTAGGCCCCCAGAGGGGTGGTGCTGGGGTGGGGGTGGGGGGCATGTTCCTTTGATTCTTTTTATTATATATTTTTAAAAGATTTATTTATTTATGCATACAAGAACTGGGGTACAGACTAGGGGTGTGGGTGTGTGGGGTGAGAGGATTCACCAGAGACAGAGTGGGGAGCAGAACAGGCAGATTGACTGAAATACACTGCTGAGGGGAGCAGCGGGCAAGTCAGGAGAGGTCTCTGAGCCATGTGGGTAGCTCCCTGGCCGGGGATCGAACTCGTATTGCAGAGGCTGTGGAAAGCTTCATAGATTGTGTCTTAACCCCTTGCGCCACCAGGGAGGCCCCCTCCTTTGATTCTTTAAACAAATCACAGCTACCCTAGAATGGCCTAGGCATTCTCCCCCAAACTGAGGATGCTTCTTGCCTTCAGTTTACCCACATACAGCTTCCTGCTTCAACCCTCTCCCAGGATGATGGCAGAACCAGAAGTACTGGGCCAGCCATGCCATCAGGCCAGGGTATCAAAAATCATTCTAGTGAGATAGGCCCCCTGACCCCCAGTTCAGAGAATCTCAGCTTAGCATGATACATTCAGGGCATCTCAACCCAAGTCAGTCACAAAACTGAGGAAGGTCCATCTGATCAGGGGAGCACCAGGAGGAAATGGTGTGAGACTCAGAGAAGTTAGTTGTTCAGGGTCAACAGGCAGGCCTCAAGGAGGGAGCTGTGGGCTCTGGCCTTAACAGGCTGTTACCAGCAGTGGGCTCACTGCCCTGTGCGCATATGAGTCAATGACTATAGCACCAGGTCTTGAGAAAAGCAGTTTTATTGCAAGTAGACTGACAAGAAAGCAAGAGAAAATTAAAACTGCCTCACCGTCCAGCAAAGGGAAGGGTTTATATTGATTTGGATGGGGTTTAGAACAAAGAAGTTAAATTGCATTGCCTAAAAGCAGACTGATGGCATAATTACGTGAATCTGGCTGAAGTTCATTGGCTAGTTACAAATTCGTCCCTATAGGGAGAGGTTTGATTTCAAATAACCAGAATCTTCCCTCTTTGACCCTCAACCCCACCCCACTCCTCATTGGTTATCCCTTTGCTGTTTTTGGGCTTAGCACAGAGTCCGTCTCTAATGTACAAGCTCAGGTTGTATCATTTGTGGAGAAGTTTCATCTGTGTAAATAAGTCTCAAAGGGAAAGTTACATAAATTTTTCTTTTGTACGCTGGGGTCTGAGAACCATTTAACCATTTAACCTCAGGTTCAGGCCTCACAAGGGTAGACTTTGCAGGAGAGCCCCTGCCTGTTGTCAGGAGTAGACCTGGTAGCTCCGGAAGCTGCTCTGAGTCCCTCATTTCAGTGGCCAATACATCTTGGCTCAAGGGTGCAATGACACTCTGGGCCAGCACTGGCTTGTGGGCATTGTGACCTCAGCTGTTCTGCACATAGAGAGCTGGTCATCCTGCCCTCACCTTGGCCTATGATCTGCCTAGGACAGTGGCCTGGTCAGGGGGCCTGTGTAGGGAGGCTGACTAGTTGAACACTCTGGCCTCCTCCATCATGTCGGCCAAGAGAGCAGAACTGAAGAAAACACACCCGGTAAAGGAGAAGCATTGCTGGGCAATGTGGGGCCCCTTTGCGTTCCCACCAAATGGAGATGTGGGGGTGGGGTGGGAAGTACAGAGAACTCCCTGCGAATCCTTGGCTCTGTTCTGACCTTGAATTGGCTTCTCAGCCCAGAAGGATGTGATTAACCCCAAGCCTTGAGAAGGGGGAAGGGAGGAGCTCTCTGCTCTCTCCCACTGAGATGAGGAGCCATGAACCCAAGGCCAGCCCTGTGCCAGGCCTGCCTCTAATAGCTGTATTTGTGGGATACTTGAAACTTCTTAGATGTTATGACCCCCATTTTATAGATGAAAAAATGGAGGCTAAGAGAGACTAAATAACTGGCCCAAGTTGATAAAAATAAGAAGACAATTACAAATGAATCCTGAATCTTCTTTATCCCCAAAACCCTAGCTTCTGCAATAATATTTACTTGGCTTCCATAGTTATCTCAAAGTGCTTTCTTCACCCAGGCCCCTAGCAGGAGAGGGTGTTGCCTACTGAACATGCAGGCCCACGTTCCTAAGAGTAAAATGTGACAAAACTTGAGTTGTCTTGAAACAGATGCTGAGGAATTTGTGGGCCTGAGCTTAAGAGCCAGATTTGGTGTGTTGGGGCGGGGGTGAGGGGAGCGTCCTTGCAATGGCTGAGTGTTTTCCTCCCCAATCCTGACACCTGACAGGCTGAATCCCAGCATCCTCTCTCCACAGAGCAAGAACTACAAGACAGTTTGCCTGGAATTGAAGCCGGAGCCCACCAAAATGAAAAACTTTTTTGAGACCATGCCGGCAGCCAGGCCCGAGACTCCTAGAGAGATGATTTGGAGTCAGGGGTCATCCACTGTTCCTGGTGGCCAAGACCTGTCCCAGGTGCTGGGGGATGCAGTGAGACAGTCACCCTTTGCTCTCATAGACCTTCACTCTAGCACTAATCAGATGCACAAACAAATAAGGGATACTTTAGTTGTTTTAACTGTAATGCAGAGGATTAAAATAGATGACTGAGTGGATGCTTTAGATGGGTGGAAAGGTTTTCATTTGAGCTGAGAGTTGAGGGACCATGTAGCTGTCACCCCAAGATTGAGGAAGAGTACTATGGGCAAAGGAAGCAGCATGTGCAAAAGTTCTGGGGCAGGAATGAACTTGGCTGCCCCAGAGACAGAGCCGGGAGAGGAGCAGACTGGGATGAACTCATAGGAAGATGGAGAGGCCACTTGCCCTTGTCTCTCTGCCCATGGTCCAAGGGAGGAGCAGAAACTTGGGGAGCTCTCTCCTGTCTCATCTGTCTCTCACCTTCGATTGCCAATATTCTGTGTTTTTGGTTTCAACCAACAGACATATGAGTACAAAAGAGTTAAAGAAGAAGGACCATTTGCCAAAGCAGGAGGGACCCATGAGCTCAAGGTAAGTGTGTGAGCCCAGGAGGCAGGCGCAACACAGAGAGATGGCGGCTGTGGACAGTTGTGGATGCAGCGCTGGTGCCTACTCTTCTGTTCCAGTCCTGACTTAATTCCCTCCAGGCCTGTTGGTTCAGGTCAGAGGTGCAGGAGGGTGAACAGATTCACCAGAGAGAGTGGGGAGCAGAACAGGCAGATGGACCGAAGACACTGCTGAGGGGAGCAGTGGACGAGACAGGAAAGGTCTGCTGCGCCATGTGGGTAACTCCCTGGCCAGGGATTGAACCCGTGCTGCAGAGGCTGTGGACAGCTTCATAAGTTACATCTTAACCCCTTGTGCCATAAGGGAGGCCCCATCACTGTCCTGCTTTTTATCATGGCTGTCTTTTCTCCCTAATGGGAATTTTCTCTACACCTCTCCAAGATCTTTCCTTTCCTCCTCAAGACAGTTTCTTTTCCAACCATGACCTTAGTTTTCTCCCCTTCCCTGTTTTATTTTCCCAGAATGAACTCAGGGAGGTGAGGGAAGAGCTCAAGGAAAAAATGGAGGAGATAAAACAGGTAACAGGACTTTCCATAACATGAAGGAAAAGGGCAGCTTCGAGGAAAATGCAATGTCTAGAAATAGTGCAGGGCAGTGAGGACTGCAGGGAAAAAGCAATCAAAGTAATTCTAGTGTGTTCAGTTGTTGGGCAGCTCAGGCTCCCAACTTCTTATTTGATTCTTAAACCTGAGTTTTGAATGATGAGACTCTAAGTTCTCATTGATTTATATAGATTTATAAAAACAGATTCATGTATCTATAAAGTTTATACATTATCTAGAAATTTATATATTAAAAATTTGGCAGATTTATATTGACATTGATTTATATCAGCAGGGAGCCTTAGTGACAGTGTGTGATGGTGCATGCACCTGAGTTGCTTCAATGACCACTTAGGCTTTAAATAGGTCTTTATGAGTCCATTGCTGAGCTTCCAGTTCATTCCAAAAGAGCAGCTGCTGCCCTTTGCTTAAAATGTCCCAAAGACAACTCCACCACTGTCTTCAGTAATATGCTCTGTGCCTTTCTCCCTCATCAGATAAAGGATGTAATGGACAAGGACTTTGATAAACTCCAGGAGTTTGTGGATATTATGAAGGTAAGCATCTCCTGAGTGCCCTCATGGGCCAGTACCTTACTAGGAATTCTGGAACAGATGCTTGTCCTGCCCTGTAGGTGCTTACAATCTAGTGGGAGACCCACACACTCTTGCAAAAAAGAATGGAATGATATGTAAGTACTAAGTTAAATGATTACTTGTTATTGCTTAATTAGGAGTTTAGAGAGGTAGGTAATAAAAGTAGGCTGGAGTAGCTAGTAAAGTTCTTACAGAGAAAGTGAGTCTTTTTTTCTAAAGATTTATTTATTTATGTATACAAGAACTGGGATACAGGCCAGAGGTTTGGGGGATGAGGGGATTCACCAGAGACAGAGTGGAGAACAGAACAGGTGTATTGACTGAAATACACTGCTGAGGGAGCAGCAGGCAAGTCAGGAGAGGTCTGCTGCGCCTTGTGGGTCACCTCCCTGGCCAGGGATTGAATTCGTGCAGCAGTTGCTGTGGACAACTTCATCATGCTGCATCTTAAACCTTTCTGCCACCAGGAAGGCCCCGAGAAAGTGACTTAAGGTGAACCTTGGAGGCTGCATTGGAAACTTGGAAAAATTCTGGCTAAATGCCCAGTAAGATTTTTTAACTCAGCAGTTACTAAGTGGATCATTTAGATTCTAGAATAGTGGTTCTCAAATTGGTGTGTTTTGGGATCACATGGAGTGCTATAAAACAGGGCCTAGGTCCTGTTTGGGTCAGGATTCACCCTTGGATTTATTTTTTCATTTTCCAGGTAAAAGTTTGGGAATCACTGATGTAGAAGCAAAACCAAAAAAAAAAAAGCAGATATGGATTTTTTTAAAGAGTTTCAGGGGAATTACCCCTACTAGATTTTAAAATTCATGACAAAACCCTGATAACCAAATCAACAAGTGGAGTCCAAGGGTTACCAGACGAGTATTATACGCGTGGATAACCCTTCAATGTCCTCTTTGCTCAGGAATGCACTTGTAGGGGCAGGAAGACACAGTGCAGGTTTTCTAATCCAGCAGACCAGGCAAAGAAGGAGTCCTAGAGAGTACTCAGTGGCTTTTGCAGGTCTTTTATTTAGATTTACCAGGCACATGGAAGGCTGGGGTGCTGGGGGGGCCGGGAGGCTGGCAGTCCTCCCAGCCCCCAGCAAATCCTCACTCTATCTGGGCCCTCTCTGGCAGTCTCTCTGCTTCTCTTCTTCTTCTCTCGGCTTCTGCTGGCATCCCCGTGATGCCGCCCTTATAAACTCAGTCTCTCAGCCCAGGTGTACCCACTTCAGGTGCCCACCATCAGGCATGCATTCAGGACCACAGGGTTCCCTCATCTATCCTGATGGCGGGAGGGCAGAAAAGCCTGATACCTTTTATCTACCCTACAGCACTGAAACTCACTTATGGGGATTTCTTAAAACTCTGTCCATGAGTCTGATGCTTGCCACTGGATGAAAACCATGCTCTGAACTCTTCAGTAGTCATCAATGACTTTGCACACTGCAGTTGCCTATACTGTGACCTTGAACTGCTCCTTCACAAATGCCAGGATGCACCTGATAACAATTCTATCAGAACCTCTGGGGATGAGGTCCAGGCAGAGCCCTACAAAATTTAAAGTATGATAAAGATGATTTTTAAAATATCAGTGCAAAGGAGAGGATTATGTAGTACTATTAAGAACATTGCTGGGCTATATGAGAAGAAAACATAATTCAGTCTAACACGATAAACTGAAGTGATTTATAAAGTGAGTTTAAATAATAAAAGCCAATAAGAAGAAATAGTAAGCATTTAACTGAGTGGTCTAAATATAAACACAATAGAACAAATCACAAAGTAAATATTGATATATTTAATAATATAAAACATTTTAAATTAGAAAAAACACAATATACAAAATTAAAGACAAACAGCAGTTTTGGGGAAGCAATTGTCCACAAATAAGATGGACAGAGACAAGAGATTTTTGACTGCTAACATATAAAGCTCACACAAATTAATAAGAGCCGAATAGAAAAAGAAGTAATCCAGGGCCTCCCTGGTAGCTCACGGATTAAAGTCTCAGAGCTATGAAGCTATCACCAGCCTCTGCAGCATGAGTTTGATTCCCAGCCAGGGAGCTAACCCACATGGCACAGCAGACCTCTTGTCTCACCCGCTGCTCCCCTCAGCAGTTGTTTCAGTAGATCAGCCTGTTCTGCTCCCCACTCTGTCTCTGGTGAATCCTCTCCACCTGCTGCCTTTTCCCACCCCCACAACTTTGGCCTACACCCTAGTTCTTGTATGCAAAAATAAATAAATAATCTTATAAAAAAAAGGGTAACCCATAGAAGAGAATACAAATAAAATGCAAGAAACACACTTAAAGGGTTTACTTCACAAATAACCAAATAAATGCAAATAAAAAAACCGATTGATAACTGTCACATTCATATCAACAAAGTCTTAACTTATGACAATTATAGAACAGGGTAAGAATATTCTTATACTGCTGATGGGAGTACAAGTTTGTATAAAACTGGAAAAGAATTAGACAACGGGCGTGAAAAAATATCAAAAACCCTGACTCATCCATTCCTTTTCTTAGAATTTAACTTATGACAATAATCAGAATTTCCAATATGGGTAACTATGAAAAGATTTATTATAGAATTACTTATAATAGCAAAAATGTGGATCCAACCACAATTTTCAACAGTAGGGGACTAGCCAGATAAATTATGATCACTCCATATCATGAATATGAAGAGCTATTAGAAACAGTCTTTAGAAAGAATGTGTATAATAAGAAGTAAAAACTCAAGTTACAAGTAATACATATATGGGCTGATCTCAACTAAGTAAACATGTAGAAAAAAGACTGGAAACAAGTATAAAAGGGTTAATAGCTGGTGTTTCTAGATGATGAGATTAATTTCTCTCTTCTATTCCTCTGTGTTGTCCCGATTTTTCCAAAAGGGAATGAATTATTTCTGTGTTAAAATGCAGACACAGTAAGTGTTCTGTTAGCAGGCAGGGCTGGGTAAGGAAAGGGACAAAGGAGGCTATTTCGGGCACATGAACAGCGTGCACACAGCATGGAAGCAGGATGAACGTGAAGTGTATCATGGTCAGCAGGGAGATCAGTCATAAAAGTGGGATCGTTTGGGGAAACTGTGAGAAATAAAATGGAATGGCACAAAGGCAATGGAGAATACAGGCTTTTGAAAGACAGGCAGACAGGCTGGGACTTGGTTGTGTAAGCAGTAAGAGGCCTCTGGAGATTTCTCAGTCAAAGAACATGCTAGGAGCAGCACTTCAGAAAGCTAGCCGGCAGCTGTTTGCAAGGTGGATGGGGGGAGGAGAGTTGGGGGAGCAGGCAGGGGCTGTCTGGAGCAAGAACATCAGACAGGAAGCTGCACCCCAGCTCAAGGTGAAGAAAGCTGGACAAGGTGGAGGAACAGAAGGAAAAGAGTGAATCTGAAAAATGCACCAAAGGAAAACTCACATTCGTGGAGACTGATTCAGCACAGAGAAGGGAGAGCCAAGCATCCATGATGACACCAAAGTTTTAATCTGGATGATTGAAGAAAGTGGTGACAAGGATTTTTGGGAAATAGAGCTAATTAGAAGAGGAAGGAGGTCAATTTGGAACAACCATAAGTTTGTGGTGATGATGAGACTTGATGGGACATTTTGGCCCTAAGTTTTTGGACCCAGTGGGCATTTTAACTGCAAGAATACGTTGATTCCATTAACGAGTATAAATATTTCATTTAAAAGGTATCCTAACATTTAAAAATGCTTTTCAATAAGGTATTTTTGGACATCACCTCCACCCAGACAATAAAAGTCCTTGGTCAGTTTTCTGCCACAGATCATAAACTGTTTGCAAATATTTCACTTCTTATTAAAAGTATTTTCCTTAATGCAAAGTATATTTTATTGTATTTTCTGATGTTCAGGCCAACTTTGTTTTGGCTCACAACAAACATCATCAATTTTATCTTCTTTGCCACCTTAGAATTTCTTTTCTGACCTCTATTTCTATCCAATTTTCCCAGGCCAAATTTTATTGATCTAAACTTTGCCCAAGAAGATTTTATTATTATTTCAATTCTGTGTAAATAATAAACGTGAGCTGCCACTTGAGATACTGTCAGTTTTGTTTTGTGTTAAACATTCCTGCCAGGAATTGGGTAAAAGTTGGAGCAAACACAGAAGCAGAGGATCCAGGTGAAGGGTGAGCATCAAAACACTGGAGTAAAATTGTCTTTGGGGGTCTCAAAAAGATTGGTCTTCTTGGTTCCACCATTTTGTGGCCATTGAACCAAAGCAAAGACTGGTTTCATCCAGGTGTGTGAGTAGGTCAAAGAATCACCAGCAGACATTGGACAGAACCCTAAAGACTACCTGTGCATCATGGATCGGGAGGGTACAGGAAGCAAGGGTTCATGTCATGTGTACCCCATCAGCCACCTCACCCCAGTCCAGTGAGAATTTTTGAGGGAATAAGAGGCTGAGGTGATCTCTGAATGGTTTGTAGACAGAGGCAAGAGAAAGGGCGGTGGAAAGCCCTTTAAGAGGAAAGATTCTAGCTTCGAATGCTCTCTTGCAGGAAATGCAAAAGGATATGGATGACAAGATGAATGTTTTAATAAATATTCAGAAGAACAACAAGCCGTAAGTGTAACCTGCACCCACCTCTCCTCATCCCTAAAGAATCTCCTCCCTGCACTTTGCTAAATGTCCTCTGAGGTCAGAGGACTCCGACTTCAAGGAGCAGTCTTGGTTTCTATTGCCCCAGTGGCTTGGAGTCAAGGCCTTCCACGGTCACCCATGTTACTGGTTCTCTCCTCATCGTGTTGGAAATTGTCTTCCCAACCCTGCCCTTTCCCGACTCCCCAGTCCCCTTAGAAGAGGAACAAGGGAACAGCCAGAACTAAAGCTAATTAAAAAGACTGACACAGACCCACAGCTCCAACTCAAGAAAATGGATGGGGGAGATGGGGCACTGTCCGGTCTTCATAAGAAGATGCTGACACTACAAAAAGCTAAAAAGGACCCACTGGAGTCCCTCCATCAATGTGGGACCTGCTGTGTAAGTGAAGCCCCTCCGCCACCCCGGCCAACCCCACCCCCCCACCTTGCACTGCTGTTATGGCCCTGGGCTCTGTTCCTCCCTCACCTTCCTAGGCCCTTCACTGTCTCACTTCCTGCTGTAGAGGGACTGGTACCTCTGCTGGCCCTGGATGCCTCCCTAGCCTAGATCCTTCTCTGGAGTCTTGTTCCCTAAGCCTGTAGGGATTCCTAAGCCATGACCAAGCAGACCTCACCCTTGGATGAGCCTGCTTACAGATGCCACTGTGTTGTTGGGTCCTCACCTATAGCAAGGCCTGCCGAGGTGTCCAGCAGGCTGGCCAGCTTGTCCGGGGAAAAATTACCTTCCTTGTGCTGTTTCTGTCCTCTACAGGAGAAATGTTTGTTGTGTACCCCAAAGAACAACTACAACGAGAGGTAGGTAGATCATCCAAGAAGGGCTGTTTTCCATTGGGGGCCTCAAAATCCCAAAGCCAGTGTATTTAGGCCACCTGTGGTTGTGCAAACTCTGGCCCTCACCCACTCAGTCTTAGAGGATATGGCACCAGGAAGGACAAGTTGGGTAGCCCAGCCTGGAGTCTCCTGCCTGAAGGCTCCACAGAGGGGTGGGTACCTCGTCAGTTACTGATGGGACATGCCTCCAGTTCTTACCTTTCTCCCCACCCAGCAGGAAACTTCCACACCTAGCCTGGGCACGCTTTTCGCCCTTGTCCTCTGGAGCTGCCTTCTGATTTACCTGTGCTTCAACCCCAGTGTGATGGAGGATGTACTTCCAACTTAGTGCTGCCAGAGAACCTCTCGGCAGCTCCCTTCATACTCTTTCCCACAAATTGAGCTGCACAGTTAAGGCTTGTTGCCCTCTGCCATGCCACCCTGCCCTAGGCCACTCTCCACCTGGAAATTAAAATCATTTAAAGCCAAAGGGGGTGTCAGCCCATACTTAATTATGTGAAGGATAGCGTTCTGTTGTTTTCAATCAGTATGTTAGAGATTCCAAGCCCTCTTCCTGCTCCCTGCTGGATTCATGGGAAATTCTGTCTTTGTCATACTCAGGGACATTTCCTCCACAACCCCTAGTTCTGCAAAGGTCCCAGATCATAACAGAGGGGAGACCCTGAAGGTGTCAGATGCCATTCTATGTGGTATCAGGAGAGGCCCCCTACTACCCCACCCATTCCTTCCCCATGCTACACTCCCCACATTATGTGTGTGGGGGGCGATGAGGGGAGGAAGGGATGGGAAGCAGGTGTCTTGGGTAGCCCAGGTTAAGGCCTTTCTGAGTTCTTATCACTGAACAGGATTTGGGGCCCTTCTGCTCTTAGAGACTCAGTCCCCTTCTTGGACTCTGATAATCTGCCTTCCTTACCCTTCTAAAAATTCCCTCAAAAGGAAATATATTCCCATCGGAAGCCTAAAATCTTTGCAAGGTGGGGCTTAGCCAGCTCTCCTCTTTGCTCTACTTTGTCTTACCCCAAATCTGCTGAGGGAAGATGAAACCCGGCTGCTAGCTTAAAATGAGAGTAAAGAAAGATACTGAAAAAGCTATTTCAGTAAATTCTTCTGCTCTGGGTGTGATTCTTTGGCTTCAGTTCAGTGGAGGATGAATTAGTGGGATTCCATATTTTATTTCACACCCATTCTTATTTCATCTCCTTGTTCAGTTGGCTGCTTCAGCTTTTTGACAGCCTCGTAAGTAACCGATCAAGTTCTTACTGGCTGCTTCGTGAAGAGTGAAGTTTTGGGTGCTTCAGAGATTTATTTAAAAACCAAGTCAAAGCCCTCAAGGAGCTTATAGTTTTTAAAAAAGAGATGTAACATATATTAAAAATATGGAATGTATATAAATAAGGGTAATAATAAGCATAGGATGGAAGCAGAAATGGATTGGGAATGGGAGAAAGGAGAAGGGTGGGCATAACCCTGTGTTAGTTTCCCACACTTCTGTAACAGCACAAGCGTCCAAAATGGGGTTTCTTTTCTAATGTCATGCAGACTCCATTTCGTGAATACACCATGATTCATCCATTCTCCTTTTGGTGACCCAGACGATTCTTTAAAATCAGTTATGCAAAAGCAGTCTTCCCAGTTGCTCTCTGCATTTGTCCTATCACCTTTCTTGGCCCACGGTGTCCTGGAGGTCACTTTGCCTCCTCATTTCTTAAAAAAATACATTTACTCAGTAGAAGAAAACATAGGCCCTAGAAGACTACATTAATTCATCTGCCTTCCAGGAGGTGGCTGCGTTCAGAAGGTGAAATGGGTTGTATCACACTTGATTTATGGCTGTGACTAGGAGGCCACAGCTGGTACTTCCTCCTTTGCCCTTGCAACTCTTATATCACCTGAAGGTCAAATGTGTAGTTTTTCTCTTACCTCCAGCCTTCAAGGCGCAGAAACTCAGTGCTGTCCTCTTAGCTCTGTGTCTCAAACTGCTGACCAGTGAGGAGCTGTGACAACAATGGTGCTGTGTGAATTTCAGAGGAACAGCATAGTCATGTGACTTAAACATGAAATAATTGTGACAAGTGAACAGCCGTCATATCATACAGATACAAAAATGAAAAAGCTTTTCCCTTGTGATGAGAACTTTCAGGATTAATCCCCTTAGTGACTTTCATGCACACCATTCAGCAGTGTTTATTATAGCCATCATTTAAAATTTTTTTTTCTTACATTGTTATAGTCACCATAGTTCTCGCACCACCATATCACCTGTGAACCATTACCATATACCCTTATGCTCATCCCGCCCCTGTTTTGCCCCCCTCTTTGCCTCTCCCCTTTTGCTGAATGCTACTGGTTCTTATCCTTTCCTTCTGACTAATTTCAGCTAGCAGATACCCCTCCAGCTCCATCCATGTCACTGCAAATGGAGTGAGTTTGTCTTTTTGATTGTTGAATAATATTCCATTGTATAAATATACCACAAGTTTTTGATCCATTCATCTATTTTGGATATAGCCATCATTCTACACATTGCATCTCTAGTGTTTATCTCATAACTGGGTGTTTTAAATTTTGATCATCTTCCAATTCCCCTCCTGCACCTCCACTTTGCTTCCTGCTCCCCAAGGAGTGCCCCACTCTGTTCACCACCCTCTCTGCTTAGCCCCATACATGGGGCCCTACTTGACTCTGAAAGGAAGCCAGTCAAGTCCTGATAACCACTTCCCCTGGCCCTGTCTTGGTCCTCATTCTCTTGCAGATTCAAAACCTGCTTTTGGCCCTGGGCATGAATTCTAGGATTCCCATGCCTCCTAGGCTGCAGCTTTTCCTACCCCCAACTTTGCCTTTGCATTTGCATCCTTGGTTACTATTTCTCTATTATATCCTAACTATGGTTAACCTCTAGGCCCTTTCCTCTATCACTTTATTGTTTTCTAGGAATTGACTTCACTTGCTTCTTGGAGACCTGGTACAGAAATCAACTGTCTTGCTCAATGCTGCAGCCTCAGAATTAACAGTTCATTCAGAGAATGAATGAATGGGTGGCATCCAACCAGTATCAACCCTTGATGATCAGAAGGTCAAAGCCAAATTAACAGAGGCTGTTCTGAAAGAAATGAAGTTGGCTCTGGAATCTAAAGTCGAGTTTAATTAGTGATGGGAAAGAAAAACGGGCTAGGACAAAAGGGAAAGCTCCTGTGGTTTTAAACAGAACTAGGGTCCTGTCCCTCCAGTTCAGGAACAATGACATAGCTTTATTTTTTAAATTGGTATCCATAATCAGAACTTGATTATAAAATATCTCTCCCATCCCTTTACTCCATCAGCATTCACATGCCAGCTTGTTATTCCCACCAAATAAAATGGCCAAGATAGGAATGTTAGTTAGAGGGTCACTGACACCAGTTTTGGTCTAGAGGGGAACGTACTATGGTCTCAAATCCTGGTCTCTGGGAGATGACTCAAGGCTGATTTCTTAACCATTCTCACCTAGACACCCCTGTCTCTACAGGGCCTGGCCAAATATAGCACAAACCAGTCTCCCCACCCCCACATCTGCCTGACTTGCTTGGTCCCTAAGCACTGCTCTCCGCTTCACCTCACTCCCTTGCTCTCAACTCCCCTCCAGTGCCCATTCATTACTTATAGGATTCTATCCAAATGCCTTAGCCTGCTGCGCAGGACCTTGCATGTCTGATCATTCTTAGATTTCAGAACTCTTCTCTCCCATTCCTGTCTGTAGAACTACACTTGAGAAACCCACATGTGCCTTTCACACGCCCTTGCCTGTCTCTCCAAAGCCCCCATCATCCCTGCTGGACTGCCCTCTGCCTCCACCCAGCTCCTCAAGAGCAAAATGACTAGACTTCCTGGGCAATCGGAGATGATTCCCCATCTCTGCACTGGTTCCAGCCTGTCTGCGTCTTTCTTCGCCATGCAGCAGGTCCATTTCGAGAGGCAGTTATGTCATCTTCCCTCCATCCTCTGCATGGACGTCAGCGCCCTGCCCTCGGCAGGGGCTCAGGAAGTGTCTATCATCTGAGCTTGTGCTGCCTCATCTAAGAGATCTGCATGTCGACCTCTTGACCCTCTCCAACTCTCCCAGCATTCGAGGCCCCAGAACTGCGGACACACTGGTAGGAGGCCAGCAGGGTCTCCTTCCACACGGCTCCCTCGAGGACTGGACAGGCTGGGAAAGGTCCTAAGCAAACTCTTTGGACTTTCCAGATTTCCATTCCAGATCACGTAAGGAAATACACATATGTGATTGTATTCTGTGTGCAGCTTGGCTCATGGGATGAGGAAGGTTCTGTCTTGAGGCTGATTTTGTGGCCAGAGAGCCCCTGCTATATTTTCAAACTAAGCAGGTGCCAGTTTTAAGAATTAAAACAAGGTCATTGGGACACAGCTGCCAGGAGCAGCTGAAGCGCTGAGTCTTCTTTGTGCAAATGATTCTGCGGTGCTAACGCAGCCCCGAGGATTGGTGGCAGTGGTTTCTGCAGTTCTTGTCCCTTGACCTACCCCAGTTCCATGTCACCCAGCTCAGGGGAAACAGAAGGACACAGTGTGTGTTGAGGGCACACGTTTGCCAGGCTGTCAAGCAGCTGTTGTGTCTGCCCTTGAGAATGGCCTTTCAGGGAGCCCCAGCCTGTCATTCCTGCTGATACTGCTCACGGGCCAGCTGTGCTGGTGAGCATGTGCTTTTGCTGTAGGTCTCAATGTCATCTCATCTGGAATGGAATTATATTTAACCTTGACTCTTTTTCCAAAAATAACACTCCTTTCCTGCATGCAGTTTCTGGGGGGAGGGCAGCTCCCCAATTTGGGCCCCCACTTCTTTTGTGCCATAGGACTCAGTTGATCAGAACAAGGTGAATGTCTGCCCACGTTGCCCCATAAGACTTCTTTCCCCGGGAATTTGGAGTTGGAGTTTAGTGAGACTCATTTGGGCCCCAGAATTGAGGACTCAAATAACTGCAAATTGGAATGGACTCAGCTGCCATTGGCCAAAATAGCAAAGGAGACTGGTCTAGAGAAAATGAGCAATTCGCAGAGAGAGAAAAATGAAATGGAGTCACTGGGAGTAGTTGAGGCCCACCCACTCAGCTCCGGAGTGGGCCCCATGCCTGGGTGGTCTGGTATGAGTCCACCTCAGCTCCACGGAATCCCCTAGACTGCATTGCACCTTCCTGTTTGACCAGAGTGGGGTTCTTTTAGCACCAAAGAAGACTTACCTGAGCCCCCACAGTTAGAAGGAAATCACAGAGATTGATCCAATTTCTTCAATTAACAGTATGGGCTCTGTAGCCCAGAGAGGGGAAGTGAGCTGCCCGCTGCCCCACAGCCAATTTGTAGCAAAACCAGGACCAGAAGTGAGGTTTGCTGACTCTAGTCCAGTGTTCTCAGCCCCTTTGCTTTCTGACTCTCTGGGGTTGGTTGCACTTCCAAGGGTAAGGAGGTGAGACTGAAGGTGCACAGACCTCAGGGCAGCTGGAGTACAAACCAGGTGTGTGGTCTCAGGGGAGTCACTTCACCCCTCTGAGACTCATCTGGAACATGGGGATAACCCCTAATGAAGAGGGGTGTTGCAAGGGGTGAATGAGAATATGTATAGAAGGATTTGATTTTTTTTTAATCTACAGCAATGATGATGTTAGAATTGCCTTTCATAGATTAAAAGGCCTTCAATTTTCAATCCCAATTTCCTGACACCTTGACTGCCTCCAGTCATAGCTAGGTCTGCAAGGAAGTGAATGTGAATCCACTTTAATTTAAAACAAACAAACAAACAAAAGATCATCGCCTTTTGGAAAGGAGGAAAGATAGAAAATCAAACAATAGGAAAATATACAAATTGTCTGAGACTGGCTGCCCCAGAGGATGGACTGGGTCCTTTGTGATAAGGCACCTCACTCCTATGTCCTCAGCATCTAGTTCCAACACAGCAAGGGGCAACTGGCTTTCCTCAGTCCAGCCACAGATCACGGGGCAGCAGCCCCAGGTCCTGACCCAAGTGGTCAGCAGAGAGACATGAGGGTGTGTCATTGGTAGCAATGACGAGGCAGAACTGGGCCCAGGAAGAGGCCAGCTTGTTCCATCCTTCCCCACGGGCCCTGGCACAGTGCCCACTCAACACGTCCGTTGTCCCAGGTCACAGGTGACCCCAGGAGATGGCTGAGGATGGACTCGGGCATCCAACTCCACTGACAGGAACCCAGATCAATCTCTCTCAGATCCAACAGTCAGATTATACCCATTTCCATGGCAATGGGCTGCCCTGGCTGAGAGCCTCCCTGCGTCCCCCTCAGAACCTCAGAGGTGATTTATACTCTGACGTGTGTGATTGAGGCGACTCCTTCGCATCTCTCTCAACATTAACACAAAACACCACAACGCAAGTGCAAGCTCTACACTTGAGACTAAACAGTGAGTGTGAAGCCCGATCCTGATGTCCCCTGCAGAAGACCCAGAAGGTGGAGAGCGTGTCCTCAGCAGGCGATAGAGCAACATTTAATGATGGTAGAAAGTCCTGCCTATTTGACCTTTTAATATTGATATCAGTTTTTAAAAATGGTGACTCAGAAAGATTTGGTTTATTTTTTTTTATGAGAGATGAGCTTGTGGGGAGAGGGGCAACTCTAGTATGAGTCTAATTAGCATGTCTTTTTTTAAAAAAAAATTTATTTTCTTATATCATTATTAATTTTTTTAAAGATTTATTTATTTATGCATACAAGAACTGGCGTACAGGCCAGAGATGCGGGGGTGGGGGGGGTGAGAGGATTCACCAGAGACAGAGTCAGGAACAGAACAGGCAGACCGACTGAAATACACTGCTGAGGGGAGCAGCGGGCGAGACAGGAGAGGTTTTCTGTGCCATGTGGGGAGCTTCCTGGCTGGCTGGGGATCAAACTGTGCTGTAGAGGCTGCAGACAGCTTCACAGTGCTGTGCTTAACCCCTTGCACCACCAGGGAGGCCCCATTGTTAATTTTTGTACAGTATCTGATTTCACCCCTCATGTGTCGTCCCTGCTGTTCTCCCACCACCACACCACCCGTGACCCATCACCACAGTCCCCTGTGCTCTTCCCTCCCCTGTTTTGACCCCTCTAATTAACATAATATTTATGAGGGGCAATTTGGTATACATATCAGTCACATTAAAAAGATAGGAAAGGGCCTCACTGGTGGTGCAGCGGTTGAGCGCCGGATTGCGAAGCTGCCCGCAGCCTCTGCAGCGCCGGTTCGATCCCCGGCTGCTCCCCGGCCACTGGAAAAGGGTCCCGCATGGCGTGCAGACCTCTCCTGCCGCCTGCTGCTCCCCTCAGCAGTGTACTTCGTCTGTCTGCCTGTTCTGCTCCCTGCTCTGGCTCTGGTGAATTCTCTCACCCTCCCGCGCTTCTGACTGTACCCAGTGCTTGTATAAATAAATAATCTTTAAAAAAAAAAAAATAGGAAAGAAAATGACTGATGGATGCCAAGATTTAACTACAAGGGTATTTAATCATCAGGGAGTCATTAATAACATACATTTGAAAATCAGTAGTATTAGACACCAATTTGTTAATTAAATGAGGACTCACCCATCAAATGGAATGTTCCATTGACATTAAGAATGATATATTATTGAATATTTAATATATATTTATGTACTAAGTATATTTATGTTAAATATAATATATAATAAATACATATAATATAATATTTAATACATAAATATATGCATATATTTAACACAAATGTATATTTAATATATAAAAGCATCTATTTTATGGCTAAATATACTATTAATGATATAATGTAAAATGAAAAGCAGCAAATTATGAAACAATAATCCCATTATTGGTAAAATTGCATGTGTGTGCACACGTGAGCTCAGAGCATTAGAAGAATATACACAAGAAAAAGAGTTACGATTCTCTCTGCGTGGTAGGATTATGACAGATTTTTCTGTCATTCTCTAATTTTTAATGTTTCTACAGTGAACATGCATCATATGCATAATAAAAAAATAACTTTTTTATTGAAAAAAACAAGAACTTGCTTTTAAAGAAAGAGAACGATGGCCCAGGAAGTTTCTTAAAAATGGAGACCAAGTCAGCTGAGCTCTCGTGAGGTCACTTAGACCTGTCTCCTGGAATGACCAGTGAGCTCTGACCAATTTGTCATCCAGAGGTCATGAATGAATACATTTAAAGAAACCGTGGGAAACAAAATTGAAACAGCTTTATGTTTAAAATCACTTGCAATATATATCCTCCACCACATCCACCCTGGGCTTGGCCACCCACCTCTCTCCTCACCTGGGGGTACAGCGAGTGTCCCTATCGTCTACTCTCAACAAGCCAGTCCTACAGGATCTGCCCTGCATCCTCCTCTTATATTGTTTCCCCCCACACCCTGCCTGCTTACTTTCTGGGCTCCAGTCACACTGGTTTCCTCCCCCTTCTTCACACACACTGGGTACACCCTTGCCTCTGGGCCTTTGCGCTGCCATGTTCCCTCCTGTGTCCTCAGCTGTCCAGGTGGCCAGTCACCTCACCTCAAAATTATGGCCTCAGTGACATTTTCCCTGTTGTTCTATACAAATAACAATATCCTCACCCCCAGTGTTCCTTATCTTTCCCAAATCTGCTTTGTTTTTCTCTCCAAAAGATATCACCAACTTACAAACTATATGTTTTGTGTGCTGGCTGTCTTCTGGGACCAGACTGAGCTCCCTGACAGCAGATACTTTGTTTCTGTCACTGCTTGATCCCAGGGTCAGGAGATGGAGAAGCACTTGCTGTAAAAACACATGAATACAAATATATTTGCCATATACCAGACATGGCAGACTGCGCTAATTGTTTACCCACATTGTTTCATTTTATTCTTACGATGACCCTGTGAAGTCATTCTGTTTGTCGATCTATGAGTCACTCAACCTGTCGGTTTTCCTATCTGATACAGGATGAAATTGGGTCCAGAGAGAGAAAGTCATTTGTTCAATGTCACAGTGTAAGTGGCAGAGTTAGAGTGTGAAGCTGAACATTCGGATTTCAGAACTATTTTCCCTTCATTCTTGTCTCTCACACTGTGGTCCCTGGACCAGCAGCATCACATTGTACGGGGTGCTGGTGAGAAACACAGAGTCTCAGGCATATCCAGACCTACAGAACAGGGACCTGCATGTTAAGAAGGCTCCCAGGGCACTTGGCGCACTTTGGAGTCTGAGCAGAGCTGCTCTAGGGTGTGACCCACTATGTGGAAATTTGAGGGTTTCAGCCTGAGCAAGGGCTGCCCAAAGTCTAGATTAGTTAGGCCTTGGTTCCTGTTCAGCCCTCTGAGTTGTTCTCATGCCTGTTATGCCCAACACAGGAGCAATTCTACACATGCCATTGCAATCCCAGAGGATGCTGAAAGGGATCTGGGGCAGAGAGCAAAGTCTGACTTCCTCTTCAACCGCCCCTAAGGCCTCTGGGGGAACCAGACTTTCACCTTAATTAGAGAAAACTCAGTTCCTGTCCACAACCAGTTCTGTGTGGGCGGGGTTATTCGGAGGACACTTTCTCAATTCACTTAGGAAAAGTCAGAGCTGTGCCTCTTATGTGAGAGCCAGCGAAATCAAAGTGCAGCACTGAGCTTGGACTGAAAGCTATTTCTGCTTGACACCTAGATGCTCAGGTCACAGGGGTTGTTAAAACAAAAAGAAAGCCTACCTTAATTATTAATGCCCAAGAACACTCCCATCCCGAAACTCTTTTTTTTTTTTTTTTTCCCTACCAGGAGCTTCCTGCAGATGTCACATTCATGGAGAGAAGGCCTGGAATAAAAGTAGGTATCCTCACTCCCTCAGCCCATTAACTATGAGAAATCTTTAACCCAAGAAAGCAAAAGCCCTATATGAAAACACACCAGCAGAGGGCGCTGAGGCCCCATCAGTCCCTGCCCACTGACCTCTCTAGAAGGAAAACATGCAAAAAAGGAAGTCCCGTAAGATTGGGGGTCTAGACCCTGGATATACCCTGGCTTCATCTTCAGAACTTTGTAGGGGGGGAAACAGGATGACTGACACCTCTGTTTTGTGCCTACAGGAAAACCAGTGATCAGCCAGATAGGCATCACTCCAAAAGGGATGGCCCAAAGGCCATCCCTCCATCCAGTATTTAGAATTCAATGAAGTGACCAACTCTCATTCATTTATTTACTTAAGCAGCATTTGTTGAGCACCTACTATGAGCCAGGCAGAGGAATAGACCACTTTATCTTTCCATAAAGTGGTGCTGTGCTGTGATAAAAGTGGTGCTGTGACAATAATGTTTGAGGCTAGTCCCTCCAAAGCCATTTAATGCTTCAACATAAGAGGGAAAGAACTAACAAGGCTATCTTCTGTTGTAGGATCAGAGAAAAGGAACAGGGACAGTGTGGAGAAGAGGAAAGAAAGTGTGGGAGGAAGAGAGAGCAGTGGCAATAAGAGGGCCCACAGGAAGAGGCAGGAAAGTTGGATTTCTGGCCCTGGTGTGCAAAAAAATACTAAATCTTAAAATGTCTGTCTTTGGAATTCTCCTATTCACCTTCCAGGCCCTGACTTGGGACTCATCTGTCCAGAACCTCAAGACTGCAGGAAGCACCCGCCTGGGCATCCCATCCAGCCCTGTCCATTGTGGCTGCTGTGTCCAGAGCTTTCTGCTCCTCTGCTGCCACACCCCAGGTCTGCCTGTGGTGCCTCTCAGCTGGGTACTGGTAGGACAGAAGTCCGATATGCTCAAGCTCCCTGATGTGGGACACTGGCCCTCCCGGGGGCATCTTTAGCAAGTACTGATATTTGCCCCTGATTGAGTTCCCAGATGGTAGGCCAGAGGGAGATGACAACAGCATGCTGTCTGTGCCATGGGTGGGATTTTGGAAACAAGGCCTGAACACCCGCCAGGGAGCTGTCATACGTTCTCAGAAGAGCTGACAGGAGTGAATTCCGGGGGTGAGAGGCTGGTATGGAAAGGTCATTGGCAAGCTGAGGATTTACAAGTCAGGGATAAATATCTGTGAGCAGTTTTGAGTGTATGTGACAGTGACTTCATCTCTACACTTCCACATGTATGCAAGGAGGCAGAGGAAGGTCAGTCCAAGAGGAAAGGATGACCCACAGGGCTGGATACTGCTGCAGAACCACTGAGGCAAGGGAAAGCCACCCCCCTCCTGTGCTGGGGGCTCCATGGTGGCAGCTGCAGGCTACCCAGGGCCACAGACCCTGGCTCCCTAGCACCACAGAGCAAAGGTTGTGCTGTCCACCACTCACATGGCAGACCTGTGTTCACGGCTTTGCAGCCAGCTGAGGTCTGGGGGGCAGGGTCTTTCTGAATGGGCCTGCTGGAGGGAAGTGAGCGGAGACTAGAGGAGCAGGGGAAAATAGTGTTTTAGTGGTCACCGGGCCATTGCATAGGCAACTCCTCATTGCAGACACATCACCACCAAGTGAGCTTAATGTGGTCCTTCCTTCATGCTGAAGAATGTCCTTTAGGATTGTTAGAAAAGTACAGTTCCTAAAATGGAGGTATTTATGGTAAGCCCACCAAGACTTCATATCTAACCTAACTGTGGTTTCAACCTCCTCCAAGAATGTAGTACTAATGGGTCAGTTTGGAATAGTCTGGTCAGCACTAAAGAGGTCATATTTCCCACTCCCCAAAGGAAGATGAGCTCATCATGTGCTACAAGGCCTTTTCCATCCCCCATGGGCAGGTTACCTAAGCCTGAAATAATCCCCTCTTCCCTTATCTTGCCCTCTTTCTGACTAGAAACATCTTTTTGTACAACTTCTGGGATACCTTTCTGTTTGCTAGACAGGATGCTATCTGATTCATGAATCATTTAATAAAGCCAATTAAAACTTTAAAATTAACTTGTTTGGATTTTTGTTATTTAACAGGATGAAGCTTGGTCCTTGTGCACAAAGCTTCCTCACTCAGCCTCCCAGAGGATCGCAGCTGAGAAGCCCATCTGCTAATATTTCCCCAAGAGGGTCCCCTGGCTGCACAGGAAGAGGGGCGAGGAGGGAGAACAACTCTTTGCTCCCCAGGCCTTGGGACAACTGGAAAATCTGGGTACCTGAGCATGCAGAAGGATTCACAGCTGTGATTGGTCTGCTTCCCTCATTGTCTTTGCTAACACTGATCTCATGGCAGGGAACATACCCCCAGTTCTGCTTCTTGAAGTCCCAGCCACCAATGATGACAGAACTCAAACTAGCAGGTACCTCATGTGGGTTGTTCGGGTTGGGGAGTGGGCGCATAGAATAACAGGGAAGAAACTTAGGGGTGGGTTCTAGATTGAGTAAAATATTCTATTTCCTGACCTGGGTGGTGGTGATAGTGTGCCATGTGTAGAAACATTAATCGTACTACAAATGTAAAATGGCGCAGCTACTTTGGAAAAATAGGACATTTCCCAGAAATTTAATACGGAGTTCCCATGTGACGCAGCAATTCCACCCTTAGGTATATTATCCCAAAGAACTGACAACATATAACCACACAAAAACACACACGAGTGTTCACAGCAGCATTGTTCATAATAGCTAAGAAATGCAAACAATCCAATGTCCATTAGCTCATGGCCGGATAAACAACATGTGTTCTCTCTATACTATGGGATTTTATTCAACCATAAAAGGAATGAAGCTCTACCCATGCTGTAACATGGATAAACCTTGAAAACATTATGCCAAGTGAGAGATGTCAGACACGGAAGCCCACCTATTGTTTGATTTCTTTTATATGAAAAGTTCAGAATACGCAACTCCGTAGAGATAAAAAACAGATGAGTGATTGTGCCAGGGTCTGGGCGGTGGTGAAATGGGGAAAGCCTGCTGGTGGATATGAGATTTCTTTTGGGGGGTGCTGGAAATGTTCTGGAATAGATGGTGCCATAGATTGTTCACTTCTGTGAATATGCTAAAAACAACTGAATTGGACCCATCGAAAAGAGTTAAGTTTTACGGTATGTGAATTTATGTCTCAAAAACTGACCAGCATGTATACTTAGGATTTGTGCCCTTTGCTCTCTGCATGTTACACCTGAATAACATTTTTTTTATAGCCTACTTTAAAAAATTAAAGGTGCCGCTACTCGGCTGCTTTGGCTCCTGATTTAAAAAAAATAAATCCCAGTCACTGTCCCAGCAAAAATGCCACCTCTTTTTTTGAAGGTTCTGGTCCTTGTTCTGAGCCCCTTTAGCATTTAGCATCAGGACCCCCTTTCTGCTTCTCACTGCTAGAGTCTGGCCGCTCTGATGGTGGCCTGGCCTCCAGCGTCACCGCGTCACTTGGGCACTTGGTGGATGAGTTATCTCACGCCCCAGGCTTGCGGAGTCACACTCTGCAGTTGAACAAGGTCCCGGGGTGCTTCGTCTATACATTAAGATCTGAAAGCTTTGCTGGAGGTTTTCCCCACCTGCTACCTATAAAAAAAGATTCTAAGCTTTTCAAGATCTCCTTTGTCAATCCCCACCTAGTCTTTGTCATTAATATTTGTTGATCAGAGATCACACATGTTCATCCTATGAGGAGGCGGAGTGACCTCAGATCTGAAGCCAAAACTAACTCTGACTTAAAGCCCACCATAGACTAAAATTTGAGATAATTTTGGTCAGGAAAGAAAATAGAGTGAGTTCCCAAGTACCATTCCTACCGAAAGGAATCAGGGCTCTTTGGAGAAGTAACTGTTCTAGGTCAGCAAAGAAAATGGGCAAGATGAGTGTAGGGTAAATGAAGTTATCGGCTTTTTTTGCCATGAGCCTCTATAGCCGCCACCTGCAGCCTGTGCAAAAAGCTCTTGGGAGTGTGAGCACAGGGCCCACGCACCTGGAATTACAGACACGTGGGCCCAAGGAGCACAGGCATGTGTAAATGCTCACACCTGTGCCTAACGGCAAGGCTAAAGGCAGCAGCGGCAGGAGAAACACTCTGAGGTGAGCCCCCAAGAGGACACAGGACTGAGAATGCCAGAGAAAGAGCTCCAAGATCTGTGGGGCCTGGGAGGCTAAGTTGCCTGCTTGCCTTCCTCCCAGCCCCACTGCCTAACCCATGCCTGCCTCCTTGCCTGCCAGCCTCCCTGCTGGTGTGCCTGTGTATCTGGTTCCCTGGATTCACCATTAAAGGGCCTGTAAAAGTCCATCGAGGGCTCCAGGACTCTCTGTCCACCCGAATCAACAGTGAACCTGCCCTGTGCATGCATGCACCACAATGAGGCTTGAACAAATGTGTAAGACTTCTTGGGTTATGTCTAAAGGATTCAGGAACCAAGTGGAAGAAACTTCTACTGACCAATGTGGATTCTTTGAGCATCAGTAAGAGTATTAGCTGCAGCAAATGGAAGCACATCAAATGTGTTCAAGTCCCCGAATTCATAGTAATACTAAAAACAAGACAAAATCAAGATTGTGGACAAATCTATGGGATAAGCAATCCATCTCTTTAATGAATTAATTGCAAGGAAAGGAAAACAGGAGCAGAGTGAACTATATATTAAAACACTTTAAAGGTATAGCAACCAATTTCAACATGTGAATCTCATTTGGACCCTGATTCAAACTGTCTTTTGAACTTATGCATACAAGAACTGGGGTGTAAGCCAGAGGTATGGGGGGAGGGTGAGAGGATTCATCAGAGCAGAACAGGCTGATCTACTGAAATACACCGCTAAGGGGAGCAGCAGGTGAGACAGGAGAGGTCTGCTGCACCATGTGGGTAGCTCCCTGACCAGGGATGGAGTGAGTCTGAAATGGCTGATGATAGTTTGATAGCACTGAGACTTAACCCCTGCACCACAAGGGAGGCCCCTGTTATTGTTACTTTTTTTTTTTAATCATTTAAGACCATTTTGAGACAGTTGGAAAATCTGAACACTAGGAATTATTGTTAATTTGTATTGATGTGTAATAGGATTGTGATTATAATACAAAAAAGAGTTCATTAGAGTGATTTACATTTTACAGATGAAATAGTTTGATATCTTAGATTTACTTCAAAATAATAGAAGGCTAAATTGATGGATTTGGGGAATGGGCCAGTTTGGTAATTGATCGGGTTGGAGGTAGCTTGTTCATGATACTATTCATCTACTTTTGTGTATGTTCCAAAGTCTCTAAATTTTAAAAGCTAAAACAAACAAGATAGCCAAGAGAAACAAACATATGAGTCAAACAAAACAGCTTAGGAAAGGACAATAGGATGGTCTTCCTGGTTCCTTCTCAACCTACTTTCCCATAACCAAATTTATTTTTTTTCAGGGGTGAGTAATCTAATATTCAGCCATCAGTTGTTACAGAAACTGAAAATTTCAACTCACAGTCCAGAGAATGAAGCAGAAACTTAAGTTACTAAACTCCAGGAGAAAGAGTTGAATACAGAAATCATTACGGATGATTTTGGGTCAGAAACGAACACAGTTGATTTCACAGCAGAAGCCCACCCACTTAGGGCACCAGCCAGGCTGCAGATGTGTTCATGACTGAGTGGGGGGTAGAAATAGTGCATCTGCTTAGCGTCTTCCTTCCTAACATGATTGAATGAAAGAGCCATGGGGCTCAACTCTGACTGCACCTTTAAATCATCTGGGGAGCTCTGGAAGCATAAGGGGCACACCATTTCCCCATTCATTGGCGTTCTATTCAGAGGCCTGGGGTGTCAGCAATTGTCAGGGCTCCCAGATGCCACTGGCCCACAGCCAGACCTGAGTGTCTTGGTATCAGGGCAGACAAGGCTGGGATGGAACCTGCTGTCCACATGGAAAAAGAGCTGCTGGGAAATGGTGGCAGCCACTGCCCGGCACATGACAAAGTGAGTTGATAGGTGAGACTCTGGGTGTCAACTTCTTTGTTTGCTGTGAGTCACATGAGGTCATTTGGAGCCACTGTGTCCAACCTGAGTCACTTCTCTCTGGGTCTCTGGGGTGTGGCTGAGATCTGAGTAGGCTGGATGTTGACCCCTTTGGGCTCATGTGGGTTCCGGAGACAGTAGGTTTTAGCAGCAATTATCATATCAAGTTCTATGGGTAAACAGGTGTCCTGAGGAAGTCCTGATCTGGATAAGGTTGGGGTGGACAGGTTGTTGGGGGAGGTGCAGGAGAATTGGCCTCTTGCTCCGAGCTGGGCTGTGAGTCAATCCCCAGAAACACCCAGCAGCCAAAAGACAGGGCCCAGCCCAGATTCCATCTCCACGGCAACAAAATCCTCCCTGCTGGATCTGGGTCTAGAGCTGAATAGTGACTTTTATCCAGGCCACAGTAGAACGTCAAACTGGCTAGCTGACAGGGAACAGAGAGATTTAAAGTCAACATGGCAGGAATCACAATCTCTGGCTTTGGGGGTGGAAGGGACAGGGAGAGGCAGTTTCTAAGCAATCATGACAAATTATGAGAAAATGTGATTCAAGTGTCCAAAATTCCATTCTTAGGTGTCAGCTGTGACACAGAACAAAGCCCCCTCACTGCAACCTCCTGGTCCAATGGAAAAGCGCTTGGCCTCTCCATAGCTGGCATGGGTGATGCTTGGCCTCCTTGCCTTCCAGCAAAAATGTGTCATACTCAGGCCACATTGGCTCAGAGCCCCCACCCCCCGCAGGGTTTGTGACTAACCTGAGTTTCTGCTATGCCCTCTTGCTCCGGGTGTGACCCCACCCTTGACCTTCCCTTTGCCTCAGCCCCACCTAGTTCACCTGCTCTGATGACTGCCCAGCTCTGCATCGCTGGCAGTCCCACAGCACTGGGGTCCTCTGGTTTGGCCTCTCTTAAGACCTTTCCTTCTCAGGGCCTCCCCCGTGGCGCAGGGGTTAAAGACAGCACTATCAAGCTATCGCCAGCCACTGCAGCATGAGTTGACTCCCTGGCCAGGGAGCAACCCACATATGGCACAGTGGCACAGTGGCACAGCAGACCTCTCCTGTCTCGCCCACTGCTCCCCTCAGCAGTGTATTTCAGTAGATCTGCCTGTTCTGCTCCCCACACTCTCTGGTGAATTCTCTCACCCCCCACACCTCCAGCCTGTACCCCAGTCCTCGTATTCCTGGCATGGACCCCTCTCTGGCTCTGGTCCTAGGGGTCCTGGCATCCCTTACCCTCTGCCAGGTTACAATAAGGCAGGAGGGACTCATAACCAATTAACCAACATTAAACATCTCATTAAGCAGTGAGATGTTTAAGACACCCCAAGAGCAGCATGATCTTGTTGGTGAAGCAGGATACAGAGGAGGCTGGAGAAGGCAGAGTGTCCTGGGAGTGGGCGGCCCCTGTGGAATCAGGACAGCTTCCTGGAAGAGGTAGGAATTGAACCAGGTTTGGAGGACAGACTGGATATTAGTTTGGTGGTGAGAAGCGTGGGGCGGGAGAGCCACTTGCATGGGGAAGGGAGAAAAGCCAGGAAGGGATAAGCTCAGAACCCTCATGGGTAGGGGAAACCCAAAAAACTTCATCACTGTGCCTGACTCACCAAGACCTGGGAGTGCTGGCTGTGCCTGCTGTGACCTGCTAGGCTCAGGACTGTGGGGAGACCCAGAGGTCCTGAGCAAAGACCCAGGTAATAATGGGCAGGTATAGCTGAGCTGGAGGTAGGGCCTTAGGACTCAGCTGTTGACCAGCCTGCATGCAAATGGCTTGTATGTCAAGACCCGGAGGACCATGAGCTTGTGCCCTGGCAGAAGTTCCTCCCCTGGGAGGAGCAGCGGCCACAAGGTGTGAGCTCCCAGGGAGACTTGGCCATTCTGATGGGTCATCTTAGCTGTATTCTTGTGTTCAGGAGGGCACAGTGCTGCATCAGGAGCTTCTCCTTCCTTTTCAGCCTAGTGCAGAGGGACCCACTGCCTTCAGAAAAGCTGAGATCTCTCTCCTGCCTCAGGTGGACTTTTGAAGCCAGAAAAACTCCCAGGGAGGATGAAACCAAGGGGTTTGATGACTTGTGCAGCTTTGTTTAGAGACAGAAAAGATGAAGGATTATCCCTGGGACATGATGGTGGTTGTGACAACCTTGGTAACTGGGTCTTTCTTTTGCACAGCCACTCTGGCTTTGCTGGAGAGAAGTTCTCTTCTGCATGGAGGGACCCACATTCAGGATCTGCCACAGGCAAGGCCTAAGTGCAAGGCTGGAGAAAAAAGAATCCCCAACATTCTTACTACCAAGCAGAGCAAGGCAACAGCTAGAGGCTTAGTGCAGCCACCACAGGCAGAGTTCTTGGTGACAGGCACAGACACTGCTGGCTGGCTGCAGCAGGGAAGGCGTGGATGGGGGACACATGCTGACATCAGGAGAAGAACATCCAGAGAGCCTCCTGGGGAAGTAGGGAGTGCCAAGGTAGGCTGGCAGCCAGCTGAGGCCACGCTGTGCTAGGGAGACCACCCTTGGCATAGCCGCCCCTGGGCACGTAGTGCTGTCAGCACAGGTAGTCTCCTGGAGAGCTGCCATGGCCAAAAAGAGGTTCTCTTCTGTCCCCAAACCTTCTCCCTCACAGGGTCCCCAGGTGACTGGGCCAGGATAGGAAGCTGCAAGCTCCCCAGGGGTGGGGAGAAGTAGGAGCTGCTGGCACCTTCAACTCCCAGCAGGCCTGAAAGACCTGGCACCCCACCAAGGCTCACAAGAGGGGGGTTCCCCCAACAAGGAAGGGCCCTGGAAGCCAGGCAGCCAACACAAACAAAGCAACAAATACCCGCTCCTTGGTGGAAGTAATTTTCTTGGTGGAAGTAACTTTCTTGGTGGAAGCAGTGGGAGGAGCTAGTCTCATCTTAATATTTAGAGAATATTCCAGATTAATTACACCACCTCACAGAAGAATAAGAGAGCAAAAGGTTTTGTAGGGATTCATCCTCCCATTCCAGCAGGGAACATGTCCAAAACAAACATTTACAAATGCAACACTGGAGGAGGAGGGAGGCTGAGGAACTCTGCTCCACATACACCTGTGAAGAATGACTCAATTCTCAGCCTCCAGAGAGTTTTCTTTTTAAAAATTTTTCTTGTGTATTTATTTGTGAAGGTAGCTTTGGTTTACAGCACTGTCTATATTTAGGAGTACAGGTTCACACCTCTTCACACCGTGCCCACTTTCTCCAACTCCGACTGAATGCAAACAGCCTAAGAGAGGTAGAATGTTCTATGGAGACCTCATCAGAGTTTCAGCCAGACCCCCAAGGGGTGTGGTCACATTTCATTATTGCTGTTGGGGGGCAGGGCACTTAATAGTAACACTGTAGTCTCCTGAAAGCCTATTAATGCTCAGAAACTGTGTGAAAAACATTACATCGTACACATGTGATTTTTCTGGAACAAGGTCAGAGCCTTCATGGGATCCTCAGATGAAAACAGGGATCATATTTGGGATGATGAACCCTAAGACTGAAGGGGATGTTCTGAAAGATCAATTTCAATCACGACTCAAGTCTGACATTTAACCCCACCCTCCAGCCTCTGCCCTCTCCTCTCTCCAGCCACAAAACCTCCCTCCCTGCACCGGAACACTTACCTTGAGTCATACACCCAACTTGGATATTTAAAAGACATCTCATCTGAACACATCCAAAAGCCAGAACTCTTAATTCAAAGCCTCCTCTCCCCAGTCCTACTCTTCTTTTGGACTCCCTTCCACAGCTAAAGGCTTTCTTCATTTTTTATAAAGGGAAGAACTGTGGGGCCTCCCTGGTGGCACAGGGGTTAAAGTCTCAGTGCTATCAAGCTATCATCCCTGGCCAGGGAGCTACCCACATGGCGCAGCAGACCTCTCCTGCCTTGCCCGCTGCGCCCCTCAGCAGTATATTTCAGTGAATCTGCTGTTCTGCTCCCCACTCTTCCTCTGGTGAATCCTCTCACCCCCCGCACCTCTGGCCTGTACCCCAGTTCTTACATGCATAAATAAAAAATAGATATTAAAAAGGCAAGAACTGTGCAGTAGTGAAGTACTAGATTCAAATCCCAGCTTTTCCACTTACTAGTTGTGTGACTTTATGTAAATTAATTAAACTCACTGCCTTAATGTCCTCTTCTGTCAAATGAGGACATTAATTGTTCACAGGAATTTTGTGAAATGTAAGGGGCTTTAAAGCATCTCAAGGTATAAAAGCGTGCTGGGCTAGCCATGAATATTGGCAGCTGTCATTTGTATTGCAGTTGCTCGGGGCAAAATCGACAAATAGTCCTTTATTCCTCCCTTTCCTTCGCATATCACACTCAAATCCAGCAGCAATTCCTGTCCATTCCATCTTCAGACAGCGGCCCAAATCTGACCTCCTCCCACTTCTCTGCTGCTACCTGTCCAAGCCAGATATATCAGTACTGCCATTGGCCACCTACCCAGGGTCCCTACTTCTGTCACCCCCAACTTGCTCACACCAGTCCTCCGGATAGCAGCCAGAGTGATCTTGCTAAAATGCAAACCAGGGCCTCTCTGGTGGCACAAGGGGTTAAGTACAGCACTGTGAAGCTATTTGCAGCCGCTGCAGCACGAGTTCAAGCCCCAGTCAGGGAGGTACCCACATGGCGCAGCAGACCTCTCCTGCCTCACCCGCTGCTCCCCTCAGCAGTGTATTTCAGACCTTCTACCTGTTCTGCTCCCTGCTCTGTCTCTGGTGAATCCTCTCACCCCCCCGCACCTCTGGCCTGTAACCCAGTTCTTATATGCATAAATAAATAAATCTTTAAAAATAAATAAAATGTAAACCAGATCACTTGTCTCCTCTTAGACTCAGGGTGTAAGTCACACTCCTCACTGAGGCTGACAAGACCCTACCTGCTCTGGCAGTGACCACTTCTCAACCTCACATTTTGCCCCTCCTCCCTTTGCTCTGAATGTCACTTGCTCCCTCCTTTATCCTGTTGTCCCCTCTATCTACAATAGAGCCAGTGTGGAAGAGGTGTGTCAAGGGCTATTTGTCTAGGGTGGTGAGGGGAAATTCCTTTGAGGGGGTGAGATTTGGTCAGACTTGCATGACTTGTTGGAGAGGCCATGGGGATATCTGGAGTGGGCCAACATGTGCGTGCGCGCGCGCGCGTGCACACACACACACACACACACACACACGCGCGCGCGCTCTTCTTCACAATGACCTGATTTTCTGCAGGTGAGGGAGGCCCAGTCAGTGAGTGTCCTAACCGGGCTTCAGGAAGGAGGGGGTTGCGGACTACGTAGTCCTCAGGGGTTCTGCTCTGTTGGCCCCCTTCCTACTCTGGTGGGGTCAGATGGCAGAGCCCAGGGCTGATGGGCTGTAGGACGAGCCCAGGGGACTCAGGTGTTCTATCACCACCCAGCTTGAAGCAGGGTCCTATGCAGGGGGAAAATGCCGCCCCAGCCTCCCTTCCCTTCTCCAAGCTTTCTCTGCTCCCACAGGTAGGAGAAGTCACCAACAGAAAATAGCCTTTCACTTTCAAGGTGAAAAGAGCATAGAGACCACAGGAGAGCCACCTGGGTTGGGGGGATGGGGGGGTGCGGTTTTGTGAGAATCTTCTGTCCATTTTCAGGGACTGAAGCATGAAAGGCAAGGGCAGCTCAGTGAAGAAAGGAATGCTTCCAAGTCCTGTTTAGTCCAGGATTTCAAGACACCGAAAGGTGACAGTGCTGCTGACCTCTAGATTCTGCCTGAGGCTGTAAGCCAGTCAGGCCCCTGGCTAGGAGCAGGGATGCTTGGGAAAATTTAAAAGAACCACCGAATTACTAGATGCTACTGTTTTCGTCAGCACTGTTGGCATTACTACCATTCTGGCTAAATGTGGATTCGTTTCTGGCAGAGGAATAATAGCAACCTCAGACGAGCTTTTACTGGGCGCCATGCTTTGTTTTCAATTGTCTGCCTCGGGCCCTGGCTGGAAGCTGGTGGGGCGCAGGGGCGTGCAGTTCCCGCTGCTCCCACTGGGTGGCGCGGGCGCCGCACCGAGTCTGCTCGATGGGGGAGTCGGTGAGGAAGGCGGCCTGGTAACAGCTGGGGGCCTGTTAGAGACCCCAGAACCCCGCCCCTCCCCTCTACGGCTTCTCCCGGCCCAGTCCTATAAACACCTTGTAACTTTTCTTCTTGGTGTTTCTCAGGTCACAGAGGAGGCGCCAAGGTCTTGGGCTTAGCCACAGATTATAGGAATGGCAACATTTGCTGTTGCTAGTTTTTTTAATATGTGCCATTCTCACTGGTGTAAAATGGTATCTCATTGCAGTTTTGATTTGCATTTCCCTGATTATAAGTGATGCTGAACATTTTTTCATGCCATTTTTCATGGCCATTTGCATTTTCTCTTTGGAGGAGATTCCTCAACCTGCTAAAGATGGAGCTTCCATATGATCCAGCAATTCCACTCCTAGGTATTTACCCAAAGGACACAGAAACATTAATTCAAAAGAGCACCTGCACCCCTATGTTTATAGCAGCACTGTTTACAATAGCTAAGCTTTGGAAACAACCCAAATGCCCAAAAATAGATGACTGGATCAAGAAGATGTGGTACATATACACAATGGAATATTACTCAGCAATCAAAAAGATAAACTCGTGCAATTTGCAGCAACATGGAAGAAGCTGGAAGGGATCATGCTCAGAGAAATAAGCCAGAAGAAAAAGAAAAATACCAGATGGTCTCACTCAGAGCAGGAATCTAGAAAACCTAAAGAAGGGACCAGGAAAAAGACTAATTATAATAAAGTAAAAATCAAAATCAACAAGCAACTATAAACCAGAGACACACTACAGGGGAGTGGGGGAGGGAAGGAGGGATTAGGGTCAAAATAAGGGGGGTGGGAATTGTATGGGGAATATAACCAAGATGAAAATGCGTACATTGTGCAAAAGTGAAAAATAATGTAAAAAAAAATGTGTGTGTATATATATATATATATGTATGTGTGTGTGTGTGTATATATATATATATGTGTGTGTGTGTGTGTGTGTGTGTGTGTGCGTGTGTATATATATATACAGAATGGGAGCCGGGATGAGTGAGTGTGCTGGGGTAAGGGAGCAGGGGGGATTGCGCAGATCAAGTGAGGAAGCCCGTGATCAAAGGTGAATGCCAGGCCTGTGGTCATGCTTCTTGGTTTAATAGTTATCCAGCCTGCTGAGTACTGATCTTGGGGTTCTTGTGCAGATGCAGAAGTGGAAGTTGGGGGGCACAGAAGTGGACCACAGTTGGACGAGTCATCTTGTCAGGTAAGCCCAGGTCTCCTGGGATGGAGTGGGGCCCCGCCTGCACTTCCTCCCACACCTGGGTGACTACCCTGGCTTGGCCTCTTCTGAGTTCCTCAGATTCTTGAGGGAACTGGCACTCTCCCCCTACTTCTGGCTTGACCTTTCTTCCACACCTGGACAAGGAACCATTTACCCAATTTCAATTTGGTTTTCTGCCTGTGAGAAGAGAAACAGGTGAGGCTTGGCTCTCCCTATGGGCTCTGTCAGAGGAGGCAGGACCTGAGAGGAACAATGAACAGTTGGGAATAGACATCTAAGGGCAGACGACCACTTTCTTGGCACATTTACACAGCACTGAGGAGGCCTCACCACACAATGGCAGAAGCCCAGTCAGTGCTTATTGTCTATAGGAGGGAGCTGGGGAGCAACCCAGGAGGGAATAATGTGTCCTTGGACTATTTGTATCAAATGTATATTCCACCTTCTAAATTTTGAAAGTTCTAATTCAGGAAGATAAGGATGGGGCTGGGGAATTGACATTTTCAACAAACACCCTGAGAAAGTCTAAGGTCTGGTGGATAGGCTGCACTTGGAGAAATATCGGTCCGGGCTTTTAGGAGATACTGTGTGAGGATGAGAAGGTTGGAGTCAGCTGGCCCCACCTCCCTTCCTTCGGAGCAAGGTCCCTTGTGGTGTGGTTTCAGACTTCTGGAACATTTCATCCCTAGCCTCAGCCTCTCCAGCTTTCCCATGCCTGCCTTTTTCTCTCTCCTGACCTTTCTGAAATGATTAGCCTGATCGTTTCAGGAGGTAAGCTCTTCATTAGTGACAATCTGGACTTTCAGGAGCCATCAAACAGTTGTGCAGCGTTGGATAAAATCTGTAAGAAATGAAAATTTCGGGCCTCCCCGGTGGCGCAGCGGTTGAGCGCTGGGTTGCGAAGCTGCCCGCAGTCTGCAGCGCCGGTTCGATCCCCGGCTGCTCCCCGGCCACCAGAGGAGGGTCCCGCATGGCGCGCAGACCTCTCCTGCCACCCGCTGCTCCCCTCAGCAGTGTACTTCGGTCCTTCTGCCTGCTCTGCTCCCCGCTCTGGCTCTGGTGAATTCTCTCACCCTCCCGCGCTTCTGACTGTACCCAGTGCATGTATAAACAAAAACAAACAAACAAATAAATGAATAGATAAATAAAACATGCCTCTATTTAAAAAAAAATTTAAAAAAAAAGAAATGAAAATTTCATTTTCAAGCTAGGCTTTTAGAGTCTTCTCTAAGAGACTTTTCTTAGAGTCTTCATCTTTTTTTCAGTGGAGGAATTCTGATGAAGCCTAAACCACCCTCACCACTGCCACCCCCAATTCTCAGTCTCCTGAGCTCCAGATCTCCAGGCCTTGAATCACACTTTTATTAAATCTTCATACTCTTCATAGAATTAGAGAAAAAAATTTGAGAAAAAAATTAGGAAGGACTAATTTTTTTTTATTTAATAGAAGAATTCAAAGCAAGTATACTTCTCTGGGGCTTATTTTCCCTCAGAGCTCAACCTTCTATCATAAAAATAAAAGGTTGGCAGACAAATAAATTATCTTGAGAGACTTCAGTTGGTATTTTATTATTGCACTTTTAACAGCAGTATTTTATAATTGCTCTGATAATACAAGGGGTGATATTTGTGAGAGTGAGTCAACAACACTTTCCCTTATGGTGTCTGCCCTCTAATAACCCCCTGGGATGGAGGCACAGCACGGGGAAGGGAACATCCCAGAACATTAATAAGGTGGAAAGCTGTGTGCTGGCGCCGGAAGGCTTCAGAGACAGAAAGCAGTAACTAGGCCAGACAGCCCTGTGGTTTTTGTGCTTTGACAGAGAAGTGAGAAATGGAAAATGGTCTCTTTACTCTCCTACAAATACAGGGCCTTGCTCAGAATTTCCTCTGACTTCATGTCCCCAAGACACCGGCTGCCCAATTACGTGGAGTCGGATCAAGAGAGAAATCATTCCAAAGTGTTCAAAGAAAACAAGCGTTCTCACAACTCTGTGAGGGCAGATGGGTTTCATGGGAGGTAGAGAACTTGGGGAGGGTCATAACTGAGCTCCAGATGCATCTAGAACCCTCTGGATGGCTTGGGATACACTTCCTAACAGTGATATTTTGAAGTTAAATCTGGTAATGTCTTTTCCAATATTTAATGGGGCTTGAGGAAAGACATAGCATGTTTCCTTCTCTTTTTGAGGTGCTGAACGTGCTAGAATTCATCTTTATTTGCTAACAGCAGAGAGCTTGCTTTATGGCATCAATAGGCTGTCTGGAGACCCCACAGTTCTCACAAAGGGCCAATTGAAGGCACACACAGATCTTCCCTGTAGCCTCTGGGCTTGACTCTTCAGACTTACTTTGAACACCTAAGTGCCAGGTGTGCCATTTCCACATCTTTAATTTTCCCCTTCTTCTTGACAGGTGTCCATGTTAGTGCCTCATTACAGGTGAGGGAAACGAACCTGAGGGGGGCTAACCATCAAATCAGAAAGAATCCCCCACTAAATGTGTCATGCACCTGGCATCAGGGTGTTTAGAAGATCAAGGGCCTCACTAAATCATGTGCAGTGAAGGACGGTAGAGAAGCTCAGGAATCAAGCCAAATTCACCATTCAAATTATTTCTGCTTCATCATAGCTCCTTAGCCAAAAAGCCAGGAGAGTGATCTTCAGTGTTTTCATTGAAGATTCAAGAAATTTGTGTCAGAAACTTTAATTCAAAAGGGCACCTGCACCCCTATGTTTATAGCAGCACTATTTACAATAGCTAAGCTATGGAAACAACCCAGATGCCCAAAAATAGATGATTGGATTAAGAAGATGTGGTACATATACACAATGGAATATTACTCAGCAATCAAAAATATAAACTCATGGGCCTCCCCGGTGGCGCAGCGGTTGAGCGCTGGGTTGCGAGGCTGCCGGCGACCTCTGCGGCGCCGGTTCGATCCCCGGCTGCTCCCCGGCCACCGGAGGAGGGTCCCACATGGCGCGCAGACCTCTCCTGCCGCCCGCTGCTCCCCTCAGCAGTGTACCTCGGTCCTTCTGCCTGCTCTGCTCCCCGCTCTGGCTCTGGTGAATTCTCTCACCCACCCGCGCTTCTGACTGTGCCCAGTGCATGTATAAACAAAATGAACAAACAAACAAACAAACAAATAAATAAAACATGCCTCTATTAAAAAAAAATATATATATAAACTCATGCAATTTGCAGCAACATGGATGGAGCTGGAAGGGATCATGCTCAGTGAAATAAGTCAGAAAGAAAAAGAAAAATACCGGATGGTCTCACTCACAGCAGGAATTTAGAAAACCTAAGTAAGGGACCAGGAAAAAAAACTAACTATAATAAAGAAAAAATCAAAATCAACAAGCAACTATAAACCAGAGACACACTATGGGGGGTGGGGGGGGAGTGGGGAGAGGAGGGATTGGGGTCAAAATAAGGGGAGTGCAATTGTATGGGGAATATAACCAAGATGAAAATGCATACATTGTGCAAAAATGAAAAATGATGTAAGAATTATATATATATATATATAAAAGAAATTTGTGTCTCTACCTTCTCTGCTTTAATTCTGGAACTAAAGACCCCACAGAGCCCAGGGTCCAGGTTCTAGGACCTCACAAAGGGACAATTACAGGCACACACCCATGCCCTAAAATAAAGAATAAACTCTACAGATATAGGCTGAAATATTACAAGGACGAGTGCTGGCCCAGGGGGAGAACACGTACCTCCTGGACAGCTACACAGAGCCTCGGGATCTGTCTCTGAAGTCACCACTAGAGCATCAGAGAAAGTGAAAACTACTGAAGGGACACTTCCAGGTCAAATGCGGAAGCCAGGCAGAAAGCACCTGTGTTATGTAGACACAATCCAAAGCAGCCTATTTCAGACAAAATTTTTTTATTGTAAAATAAGTTTATTTAACAAGAAAAAGACTGAACAGATTTACCATTCATGGAGCATCACGGAAAGAACTATTAAAGAATAAATATTAGAAAGAGGGGGAGCAGAACAGGCAGACAAACCGAAAGCACTGCTGAGGGGAGCAGCGGCCGAGACAGGAGAGGTCTGCTGCACCATGTGGGAATCTCCCTGGCTGCCTGGGAATCCAACACGTGCTGCAGAGGTCGTGCACAGTGTCACAGCACTGTGCTCAACCCGCTGCACCACCAGGGAGGCCCCCTCTGTCTCTGGTGAATCCTCTTACCCTCCCATGCCTCTGGCCTGTACCCCAGCTATTGTATAAATAATAAATAAATCTTTAAAAAAAAAAAAAGAAAGAAAGAGGGGAATGGAATCAGGGGATAGAACTGTAATGAAAGCAGTGGTAAGTGAAAATACTAGTACATAGGTGGGGAAATTATTCAAGTTTCAATTATTAAAGCAACAAAAATGATAGCTAGTTTGAAACGGTTAATAATATTCAACGATTACTCAGTCATGGATTTGAAAGCAAATAATGGTTAGCAATTAAGTTCTCTAATATCCAAAAATTATTTGGGAGTAGGGAAGATACAGTGACAGACAAAATATTTTGTTTCTGAAGACTTCTTCTTCTTTTTTTTAAAGATTTATTTATTTATTTATACAAGCACTGGGTACAGTCAGAAGCATGGGAGGGTGAGAGAATTCACCAGAGCCAGAGCGGGGAGCAGAACAGACAGACTGACGAAATACACTGCTGAGGGGAGCGGCGGGCGTCAGGAGAGGTCTGCGCGCCATGTGGGACCCTCCCCCGGTAGCCGGGGAGCATCCGGGGATCAAACCGGCGCTGCAGAGGCTGCGGGCAGCTTCGCAAGCCGGTGCTCAACCACTGCGCCACCAGGGAGGCCCTCTGAAGCCTTCTTGACCCCTACATGTGGTAGAGTTCATCTGAACATTCTAGAATCATTCAAACACCCATAGCAGAGGCAAGAAGTGGAAGCGTGAACTTTAAAGTGGTTTTCTTCATTTTGAGGTCCACATTAAAAAAGGAGATGGGCAGAAGATGGAGATCTTGTCAGAGTGTTTTTTTTTTTTTAAGATTTATTTATTTATACAAGCGCTGGGTATAGTCAGAAGCGCAGGAGGGTGAGAGAATTCACCAGAGCCAGAGTGGGGAGCAGAGCAGGCAGAAGGACTGAAGTACACTGCTGAGGGGAGCAGCGGGCGGCAGGAGAGGTCTGCGCGCCATGTGGGACCCTCGCCACTGTGCCACCAGGGGAGGCCCCTTGTCAGAGTGGTTTTGAAGACAAAAAACTGAAAAGAAAAAAAAAAAAAACAAGAAAATGTGTGATGGGATTGACAACAGGCAGTGAAAAAGTCATTCTAAATTCTCAGAAAATATATCACAGATGCTTATCCCCTGCCCTGATTCAGGTTTTAGCTCCCCCAAGAAGGCTCTTGTAGCAACACTGGATTTTTTTTTTCTTTTTTTCTTTTTTTTTTTTCACTTTTTTAATTTAAATTTTATTTTTATATTCCCCATACAATCATAACCCCCTTATTTTGACCCCAAGCCCTCTTTTCCCCGCCCCCACCCCCCATAGAGTGTCTCTGGTTCATAGTTGTTTGTTGATTTTGATATTTTCTTTCTTATAGTTATTCTTTTTCCTGGTCCCTTATTTAAGTTTCCTAGATTCCTGCTATGAGTGAGACCATCCGGTATTTTTCTTTTTCTTTCTGGCTTATTTCTCTGAGCATGATCCCTTCCAGCTCCATCCATGTTGCTGCAAATTGCATGTGTTTATCTTTTTTGAATGCTGAGTAATATTCCATGGTATATATGTACCACATCTTCTTGATCCAGTCATCTATTTTTGGGCATTTGGGTTGTTTCCAAAGCTTAGCTATTGTAAACAGTGCTGCTATAAATATAGGGGTGCAGGTGCTCTTTGGAATTGATGTTTCTGTGTCCTTTGGGTAAATACCTAGGAGTGGAATTGCTGGATCATATGGAAGCTCTATGTTTAGCAGGTCAAGAAATCTCCACACAGCTCTCCATAGTGGTTGGACCAGTTTGCACTCCCACCAACAGTGCAGGAGAGTTCCTTTTTCTCCACAACCTCGCCAACATTTGTTGTTGCTAGTTTTTTTAATATGTGTCATTCTCACTACAATGAGATGTCATTGTAGTTTTGATTTGCATTTCCCTGATTACAAGTGATGTTGAACATTTTTTCATATGCCTGTTAGTCATTTGCATTTCCTCATCAGAGAAGTTTCTTTTTAGCTCTGCAACACTGGATTTTAAGCTCTTTCCCTTCCTTAACCTCATCTAAAGTGTCCAATGTATAGCTTACACCACCACAATGAAATAATGTTCTCTTGTGTTTGAATGAACAACTCCTTTCTCCAATACCCAGTTTGGGGTCAGGGATTCATCTTCAATGAAAAGAATGATAATGCCTCATAAACACTGCCTTTGGATGCTGGCATGAGGATCCTGGCCCTGGCACAGCACTTTCACAGAATGAGTCCACATCCTCTCTTCTAGAACATTCCAGGTAACCAGGGCCCTCTTCTTGGGTCTGCTCTTTCTGATAGGCCATGTTTCAATCCATTCCATGGACAAAGCTTGGACAAAGAACTGGCTATCCACTTGGCTATATGTGTGGTGTGTCATGGCGCTAAAGCCTGGTGGGAAGAGAAAGGGTTGGGCAGCAGGCTGAGCACCAGTGACCATCTCCCTGTGCCACCACATTCTAGTGTGGAGTTCCAAGGAGGCCAAGAATTCTAATTTAAGCCAGTTTTTCCATGTTGCTCTAAGAAACTTAAAAGGCAAAGAGATAGCGGGACATAATGAGCAGAAGTTACCTGTCTTCAACTTGGAGGGGCGGGAGAGGCGTCCCAGTCTAAAGAATGTGGGCTTCTATTGGTTTTCTTTTTTTCCAGGCCCACAGATGTCTGAGACAGCCTGGGGGGATGTCTTGGCCAGTGCAATCCCTCACAGCTCTATTGAATTCTCATACTGCTGTTGCTATCGCCTATCTGGAGCCAAGTTACCAAATGAATGAAATACCTTGCTAGGCTTCAAAACAAAACCACAGGAACTTCCTAAATAAGTATGATGGAAAACAAAGTGATATTAGTGCATTGGTGAAGGGTGTGGTGTGATTAACAAACATTTGAAGAGCTGTGAAGCTATACCCCAGATCACATATAGTGTTGTAAACCAGAGTCACTTCAATAAAAAATAATACAACTAAAAAAAGAAAGAGAAGAAAAATAAAGTGAAAACCACAGTTCCTGTAATGAATTCAAAGACTGTTCCAAGTTGGAAATAATGTTCAACAAAGGAATTTAAGACCAAGGGGGTGGTTAGGAGAGAAATTCAACTGGCAATGAGCAGATATCAAGACTCCATCTCAAAAACAAATGTGGCAACCCTCTGTGTGTTGCTCTATTGATTTAAAATTCAGCATGACTTCATTTTTTCGGATGCCACTGATTTAAAATGTTGGTAAAATACATGATCAGACTAGACTGTCACGCTCCACTACTTATAAGAAAAGACTTACAAAGAAAATTCAGAAGACAAACAAGAGCACAAGGGGGACTGTTAGGTTTAATGAATAAAATAAGCTCTTTAAAAGACTAGCACAATAATTGTTGCATGCAAATGTGCTGTGCATTATGTAAGTGAGTCATCCCTTCTTTGAAGGAAGCTGAACCAAGATCTCTTCTTGGAAAGACTTGGGGAGCATTTTGAGTTGTTAAAAGGTAGCAAATTGCATTTCATCCTCATCAAGCAATAATTACCTAGTTCATTTAAGCCTAACATCTGTTAGGTGTTTACTACTTGCAAGGCCCTTGGTTGAACGTTCGCCAAGCCTTCAGCTCTCACAAGTGGCCTCTGAAGTATTAAGTACTGGCTCATTTGCCATTTGACAGATGAGGAAACTGAGGCACTTAGAGTCACAGTACTTTGCCCAGATTATCCAGATAAATACTAAGGAGAACAAATGACAGCAGGCTCTTGGCCTGTAGGAAGTTTACTATCTAGAACATTTTTTTTATATAATTTTTTAAAATTTTTATATTCCCCATACAATTGCGACCCCCTTATTTTGACCCCAATCCCTCCTCTCCCCACCCCCCACCCCCCATAGAGAGTCTCTGGTTCATAGTTGTTTGTTGATTTTGATTTTTACTTTCTTATAGTTATTCTTTTTCCTGGTCCCTTATTTAAGTTTTCTTATCTAGAACTTTTTTAACGCAAATTTTTTAATTTTAGTAAGTTAGACCAACTTCGTCTTTCCAGCTAATCTGAATTTGGTGGGTTTCACTAAAATAAGACAATATGAAATATCACTCTAATCCATTAACTATTGCCATGTATTATAATAGGGATGAGGGGCAAACCATCTGAGGGAATATCCAGGCCACACATGGGAGCTGACTGCTTGAAGGACATCCCTATCCCCAGATTGTAGATGTTATTTATAATGCCTGAACAATGACAAGTCAGTGATGATTTAGTACCAAAACCTCAAGGACACTATTAACAAGAAGGCATTTCTCATTCATGTGGCAATGCTCCTTTTATTTATCAGAGGATGGTAGCAATAGTGTTCATTTAATTACAAGCCTGGTGTGTAGAAAGGCAGTTGTGAAGTGCATGATATTACAGACAAACACGAACTCAGGCGCCAAAGAAAATTGGGTATCTGAATTTATTCTGACCCTCTTACTTTACATGGTTTAAAAGCTATTGAGCCAAAGGAATGATCTGAATGTGTTGTATCATTTCACAAAATCTCTTTAATGGCAAATTCATCTAATTAGTAAGTGGAGCAGCTTCATAAACAACAGAAAAGAAATACCTCCAACTTTTGACATTAACTAAGGAAGCTATCTCTGTGTATAAGAAAGCAGATTAAGATCCTGTAACTTTTTCAACTGTAAATAAATTGTTGGCATACTTAGTCTATGTGACCAGTGTTATAAAACTGGGAAGATGAAAAAGCAGGTTTGAATGAGAATGGGAGTCACAAGGAAAGTGGAAGGGGATAGACTGGAAAAGGTGACAGAGGGGAATACCCACTATCAGTGGCTGACACCCACACTTTCCCCAGGACACGCTGCTCATCAGTCTGAGCAGTGAGGTCTGGTTAGCTCATGATCTAGGCACTTATGGGCAGGTGTGCCACGTCCATGGCCAGACTCCCTAAGCCACCTCCCCTCAAGGTCTGCATTCACTTGTTCACAGGAAACTTCTGTTGAGCACTCATATGTGTCAGGCCCTGGACTGGGTCAAGGGACACACCCATGAACAAAGAGAGCAGGTCCCTGTTTCTTGGAGCCAGAGGAGATGGTCTGTAAATAAGCAGATAAATAATTGAGAGTTGCAGGCGGCTGTTTAATTTGTGAAGAAAATAAAGCAAGGTGAGGAATGATTGGGCATGATGGAGAGACAGGATGGCTAATTAACCAGGTAACTAGGGAACACTACTGTGAGATCACATCTCAGCAGCGAAGGAGCCAGCTGTGGGAAGTGCCAGGGGAGAGCACTTGAAAGGAGAATCAGCAAGAGGTACCCTTTAGCTGAACTGTAGCGGAGAAAATAGGGTGTCTGCTTGAGGAAGAAGCCACAGAGGCCAGGGGCCAGGGCCAAACTTTTGGATTCTTTTCTAAGTGGCATGGGAAGTCACTGGACTTAAGTAGTGATATAATAAAATTGATATAGATTTTTCAAATATCACTCTGAGTACTCTGTGCAGATGGAGTTATAGGAAGATGGGAGTGAGGCGGTGAATGGCAAGAATGAATAATCAGAGTGTCCATCTTTTTCCCACAGACAGCAGTGCGGGGATGGGTCTGTGACCCGGCTGGGGGCTGAAGTAGTTCAGTGGGATGCTTCTGTGGGGTTAGAAGGGGAGACTCTCTCCTCTCTCTCAACCTTTGCCACTTGGAGGACTCAGAGAAGCAGTAAGTGGCTGAGAGAGGAATGGCCACCTCTCTAGTCCTGAGATCCTGAGGTAACCCAGTTCTCACAGCTCTTCCTTCCATTCCAGTGCTACTAGCTGAGGGAGTTCTAACAACCACGTGCAGCCTAGGGATGGAAAGTGGTGGAAAGCAGATAGCCAGGGAGGCATGGAAGAGAGATAAGAGAGGGAAGTAGGCGCTGACCTTGAAACTGGACATGGGTGGATTCTGAGAGGAGGGAAGCAGCGACGACCTGAGCTCTGACACAGAGCTCTCCACCAGAGAGGACTCTGTGACCTGGCAAGTGGACAGCTGCATGTTTTCTGTCTAAACATCCAAGTTACTCATTTCCCCAGGTGACACTGCAGCTGCGGGGCCTGTGACCAGTGCAACAGCTAAACAATTCTGAGTTTAAAAAGTCAGAGTGGTAGTTAAACAAGAAAACAGGGAAATGAACAAGGGCAGAGCCTCCCTGTGGATCACATATGAAGAAATCAAAATTAATTTATGAGGATTTTTTTTACATATAAGGAAAGGAGATCCTGCAAAGTTATACAAGTCCTAATGGAATTTAATAAAGATGAGCAAAATATCATTGTCTTTACTTGGCGTGGTGTCCTCATTATTTTATTTAGTGAATGATAAAAATTCACAAAAGTTTATATTGCTTCCCTCTTGCCTCAATATTCAGCTCTCTGTTTCTTAGATAAGGTTTGAGTTCTTGAATCATAAATTTTCCTTTTGCAGAAGTTGCAATCTAACTCTACAAAGTGGGTGGAGGTTCGATTTGGAATGACTAGAAATCAGGGTGTCCTTTTGGGGAAGAAGGTTGATGTACATGAATTGATAGGTAGAGGTTGGGTGTAGAAGGGTAGAAAACTTTCATTTTAAAGTAATATGTTTCTCAAGTCTCCATCAACAGATGATTGGCTAAAGAAGATGTACAAAGATGTGGTGTGTATATGTACAATGGAATACTACTCAGCTCTGAAAATAACTTGCCATTTGCAACAGTGTGGATCGACCTAGCAGGTATTATGTTTAGTGAAATAAGGCAGCCAGAGAAAGACAAACACTGTATGATTTTAGTCATATGGGAAACGACACAAACTAAATAAAATAAAATTAGACTTTTGTGCTATAAAACCAATTAGTGGTAGCCAGAGGGAAGGGGGAGGAGGGTAGGTAAGTTGGGTGAAAAGTCAGTTGTACTGTGAAGGGCAAAATTGCATGTTTAATGGTGAACTTAATATTGTCCATACAGACGGTGATTTTTAATGATTCACACCTGAAACTTTACACAATGTTTTAATGCAATGCTACTTGAATTTAAAAAAAAATGATAATTTTTTATGTCCTTTTACAGGCATTGTTGCCCTTTCAAGCTGCCTTCACATTCTCCAGTAAGGAACCACAAACCCAGGGAGTCTTCACCAGACCTTGGTCACCCTTTGGTGAGCCAGGGCTGCCAGTAGTGCTTCTGTCCGTGTGTGTGTGTGTGTGTGTGTGTGTGTGTCTGTGTGTTTGCGTGCACACACACAAAGTTTATTGCAATGGTTCTTCCAGATTTTACTTAAAACTCCCTCTCTCCAAACCGTTTCTCATTCTTTTATAGCCCTTTACATTAGTCTGGGCTCCTCATATAGTCAAGTTTGTCACATCTCCTCTCTTTCTTGTTTATTTATTTATGCATACAAGAGCTGGGGTACAGGCTAGAGGTGCTGGGGGATGAGAGGATTCACCAGAGACAGAGTGGGGAACAGAACAGGCAGACTGACTGAAATATACTGCTGAGGGGAGCAGCGGGCATGACAAGAGAGGTCTGCTGTGCCATGTAGGTTGCTCCCTGGCTGGCTGGGGGAGTCGAACTCTGTGCTACAGAGGCTGTGGATAGCTTCACAGTGCTGTGCTTCACATCTCCTCTCTTAAGGAGACATCTTTCCCAAGCCAGGCAGTACCTGGAAAGGAGACTTTAGGGGTACCAGTCCTTTGGTTTACCTGGCGAATCTAGATACACCCACCTCCACACCATTCCCAGCCCAGCTCCTCAACCAAGGTTGTGAGATCAGACTAGCAGCAAGGAAAGGATGATTTAGCCTGCAGCAGAATCTCCCAGGGAGGATTAAAGTAGACTCCTGGGAGGGGGCCCAATGGACTGTGGAGGAGGGTGGGTGCTTTGGTGGTGACACATCTGAAGAGTTGTGAACCTGTGGCCCTAAATCGTATACAGTGTTGTAAACCATGTTACGGCAATAAAATATATATAGACGTATAGACTCCTGGTCCCACCTGGATAGCCTCATTCACTAGGCTAGGGCAGGGCCTGAGAACGTGCATTTGAAAGTCCCACCCCTGTGATTCCAATGCGTTGAACTCTCCAACCAAATGGAAGACCAGATTAGAGGGAATTGAGGCTGGAGATTAGGAGGTCGGTGTGAGTTTGCGTCATGGGTGAGAGGAGGCAGAGGCCTGATGGCACAGGCACCACCATGAGGAAGGGGGAGAGATAGGCTCCAGGACGGAGCAGACTTGGGGGAACCCTGGATGGAGGAGGAAGGCAGGCTGCAGGGGGAGGCCGCTCCCTGGCCTGTATCCTGGCGGGTTCCTCCCTTTCCAGGAAGGAAGCGGCTCTTCACACATGTAGCAGAGGGGGCCGACTCCCTCTCCTCT